GTGGTGTATCACTCTGAAACAATCTCATGTTTAACAGAATAGGACTCAAAAACTTTTCCCGATATGAAATTGATTAAAAGGCAGTTAATAAAGGACCATCGCCTGCCGCTGAAATCGCAATGAGAAGTAATGAATCAGCAATTCCTTTGTTGCAAATTTGATACCGCCTGGTATAATATGTTGTTATGTATGGATTTATTATGCAACGTGAAATGTAAAATATACAATATAAAACTACTCTGCAACGTAAAATGTAAACTAAAATTGTGCCATTTGCTTTAACAAAGAGCACCATTTCACATTAGCTAATGCTTATAATCTCGGAACTATAGTAGGATATTTCCTACTCGAGGAAGCGGGGGACCTCGAACACCAAAACATTTATAACGATATATTTCAACTAGGGATTGGACAGACAATATCGAACGTCACTGAGTCTCCTTTCATATTGTTATTGCCATTAACTTGTCTTGTCGAATCGTAATTGCTGAATTCGTTGTTATACTAACAAACTTATGATAATAAAAATTTAATTACCCAAAATTGAGAAACAGAAACAACCCCCAGTCTTTGTCACAGCTGAAGAAAATCGTCGACATCGCCAAAATTAGATACCCAAAAGTTTTCGTGCTCCCTTGATCAATCAATCTTTTACTAGCATGAATGTTTCTTTAAAAAGTGTTCAGGAAGAAAAACTGTAGAAGGAAGAATGAATATCGGCTATGAATATTTGTTCTGTTCCAATTAGAATTCTTGAAGACCTACAAGTAAAGGATCTTCGCTGAAATCAATAGTGACCGTACGTACGAAAATATTCAGACCACACGTGCGCCAAAGCAAACGTTCCAATGCAGTCGTATACCGACGTTCCACAATTCCGGCAATGAAACTGCAACAACTATATTTATTGAGCAAATAGCCATATTTTATTACTTTTTGAAGCAGTACGAAATATTCAGAAATGTCAAGATGCATGTTACCAAAATTACTGGAAGAACCGGGAAGAAATGAGAAATAGGATTGCGCAGGGGCCTAGACGAAGCCAATTTGTTCAGTATTGATGACCTAAAAATATCCACTCGCGCTGCTGAAAATTTGACAAGAAATACGTAAAACCAACGGACCGATTCGAAATCTTAACTTTCCTGACTACCAGTGTTTTAGACCAAACTTGAACCTAACTTTTCGCCGGAGAAAATATTTGACATTCGGCTTGGAATGATGCTGTCCTTTTTCCTTATGACCACATTGGTCAATTCGCGACGAATAGCATCAATTCCGGAGATTAAATTTTCCTGATCCATTCCCAGCATTGACTGTTTAAGTTGTTGTCGCTGTTCCTGCAAATTTAGAAATCTGCTGAAAATTTTATATTTGTTCAATACTTGTTTTTGCGAAAAATTTAAGAATGCTTTATTCAAAAGTGGCAGTGCTATCAAATTAGTCTCCCTTAATTTTCTAGTCCTTCAAAATTTTCAGAATTTTTCGTAAAAAAGATTGAAATCTTATTTCACTCATGTATAAATGCCTACATCTGTGAGAAGATGTTGCACTTTATTGATGCACTGCATGCATTCATTTAGCTGTGCATAATTATCCATCAAATTTTCCATATTTCTTTTATTTTCAATCAGTTGTTCCTCAATCTTTTCAATTTCAGCCTGAAAATTGATTCCAGAAGGACGAGCTTAATTAAAATACTGAGACTTTAAACTCAGAAAATAATTATATTTAGAGTAGTAAAGCACACCATGCTTTTAGTGAAGAACTTTAAAATTGTTCAATGAGAAATTTTTTCCCGTAATTTTTAGAATACTTAAGATATCCTTCGTACTTCGAGTGTGTTCATTTCGCTTGGTGGTGGTGCTGGAACAAATCCATTTATTTGCGGTACTGGGATAGAATCTGCTAGAATTTGCTCCTCAATAAACTCTAAATAATCTTTATATTATGTCTGAATGCTTATTGATAAATGACAGAATAAGTTTTGCTAAATGCAAAGGAGCTCTTAAAGAAGAACAATCAAATAATTTAGAAAACGAATATCTCGTTTGATTCTTTTAAGATTGAATAGCATTAGTTGAATGAAATAAAAGGACGGTTACATAAATGGATTAGACTGAAAACAATACTTAGTTTTTGTGCCATCAGATTACATCGTTTCAAATCACCAACAAAACGCCTTTGGAATGAGTTCATTTCAGAATTCAGCTGAAATGCAGGAAATTTCCCCTAGTCAAAATCACAGAAATGAATACAGCTGATGAAACTCATAAAAATTACAGCTAATTATTTGGTTGCTTGATTCCAACTGTTTTAATTAAAACTGTGTACTTCGGACAACTTTGATATCTATTATAACAGGGTTGTTGGAAACCCGTCGAGTTTGCGTAAAGAGATTAAGCTCACAAGGAAGGGAAAAGAGTTTGAAAAACAGGTTGGAAATGAGGATGACCAGTTGCAGAATAAGGACTGGATAGGATTAAAATATGAATGAAGGTATTAGGACTTGAATTGTCGGCAGAACTTCTCATTCCAGTTTTACTCTGGCCTTAGTAAAATTTAAGCATGGGAAGTCTACCGTCCATTTCAGTATATGAAATCATGAAATATTTCCCGATGGTACTGATTTTAATTCAACAGATCTGTTTGCTCCATATTCCTCAAATTCATTCATTAAGCTCAATGATTGATTTGCATCTAATGTTCTAAAAAAATCATCAGTTAACTCACATCAATAAAATGTACGACGCCGAGTTCTCCGAGTTTCGCTATTTCATCGTATGCCATCTCGGAATGTAGAAACAGCTGACAAAGGGACATTGGTTCACTGCGATATAAAGAACCCATACCGTTCCTATCGCACCCTGCATGACATGGTCATCCACAATTCATAATATTAATGATAGTTAATAATAAACGAAGAATCAGGGACCTGTAGACCTCCAGAAGTTTTGCAGATTTCTATTTTACTGAATTATCGGCATGTTGGACAACCAATTCACATATTTTACTGTGGGAGTGCTTCATCGATTTTCTCCAAAACAAAATATATTCCAAGAAAACCGTGGTACTCACAAATTCTTGAACTATGCCTGAGTATTAAAGCGTCCTTCTACATCTTAAGGAAACCAGACCTGTCGACAAAACCAACATATAACAAACGAATTCCCCATCCCAAATACACCTTTGCCATACTCTTATCTGTCTCTCAATTCTTTAAACTACAAAAAGCATTAACAAACACTCTGTGATGAAGTGCTCTCTGATCATCACATGTTTTGCCAGTAAGAATGGGTTTAAATTAATCACAACACAGTAAAAACAAAACATATTTACCTTCTTCATTGAATTTAATTCTTCGCCATACATCATCCCAGAAACTTTGATACCCGAATACATTCTCGACCAGAGCCCAACGCTTAAACAGGTGTCGTGCTAGTCTTGATTGAAACATAATTAAATCACGGTTGGTCATCCACCATAATAGTTTCTGCTACCCAACCACTGCACAGAGAAATGATACCTCATAAAACAATACAACAGATATACGGTCATCCAAAAGCTTAGTGCGACTAAATTGTTCATTTAAGCCTAATATAAAACAACTCCCATAAAATGATTGGTTCATAAATGCCTGTCGTGATTTCTAAGATGGACTGTTTTTTTTTTCCGGCAGCTATTTTTCAAGAACTGCCTTTTTTTCCAATTTTCAATTTTTCAAGAACTGTTCTCCCTGTTAAACAGCTGATGAAATGATTCTACTATTGCTGAGAAAAACATCAGGAATATGAATTTTGCCAAATAGGTAACATCATGCAGTTCGATGGTAGCTTCAGCTTGTATCTCTAGTTTTGCAGTGTACATATTTACAGTTTCTTTGATTCTCTCATTTCAACTGCGCTGCAATCCAAAGCATGTAGTTGACTGGAATTATACTCCGGGAAGTTCGAAACTTTGAAAAAGCTAATCATATTCTGGAAATAGATAGCTTAGTTTGGGCTTTTGAGAAATCCTCTCTTTTAGATGCATTCCTAGGTGATCTTTTTCAAACAATGATGTGATAAATCAGAAAGCCAAACAAAAATTTTCCATTTACTTCTTTTATTCATTTTACATTTATTTTCTCGTGTGTTGGTAGTTGGTAGTCCTTTCCTGATACCACACAAAACCCGACTACCACATAAACATTAAAAGAAATGATTTTGCCCCAAAATTGAGCATTTAGCTTATGTTACAAACGACACAGTGCTTTCTTGAAACGTTGGCGAATTTCGCTGAATTTATTTTACATTTGGAACAAGATGGGTCAAATGCGAGAATAAGAATGGAGGAAATTTTTCTTCTTCTTTGCATTCAAAGTACCAAGAAGATTCCAATTTTGCAACTAGAAGTGAGTATTTAATTAGTATATCTAATAAAAGTAGCAATGCAGAGCTCAAGTCGGGAAGTACTGCGTTGTCCTTAACGACGGCATTAATCACATTGGGTAGGAGCCGAATCAAATACAGTAAAAAGCTTTGTACGCGTTTCTAAAGTTGCAATCCTCGCATCCAATTAAAACAGTCAAAAGATAAGCACATATTACCATAATGAAAAGTAGAAAACTATGGAAACGTCTCTACTTGATTAGATTTTCATCTCCGTAATCACTATCATCCCGTCCCTCGTCTTGCATCCATTCGTCGCGCATTTCTGTACTCACACTAGCAAAAAGATAGTCCCATGTCCAAGATGTTTTCTCATCATTTACTTCTTCCTCTGTACACAAAAAGCGTGATAGAAGTGATAAATCTGCAACGAAATTGGCAATTTCAAATTTTATTTTAACACAGGACTTCCATAAAATGTTTCTCGATGATTAATGCGATGAGCGTAATCAGGCTTACCAGAGTGAAATAGTTCGGGAGGACGTTTTGCGCAAAGTATTTAGACCAAGGAAAATGAATCATTTTCCTTGAAATTAAATTACCTATATCATCCAATTTAGCTAGTGAAGTATTCTCCGCATTCATAAAATCCAACTGATACACGGTTGATATCTGATTGACGTTTATGCTCGGAGCATTAGCAACATCATGCAAAACCTATTGAAAATACAAAATCTTTAACAAGCACCGAACGGCTAACAAACAAATATCAATATGAGTGAAGAAATTTTTTCTACCATAAGTTACAACAAAGAAACTTTTAACCAAGTATACGTGATCTTATGATGTCTTAAAAAGCGTCCAAAAATTTAAGTAAATATAAAAAACAAACTCCTTCGAAACAAGATGTTGCCGAACTCCGAGAAATTGTATGTTCTGAAATGAAAGCTCGGCTGTCTTTCCAAATGACGAAATATTTTTGTTAATACACATTACAAAGACAATTCTTCTCGAAACTATGCCTTATATCTAATTTAAATTGAAAAAGCACTGTCGCACTAATTATTATCAGTGATAAAATAACCTTGCAAAGATTATTCCTCAACAATATAATCTATATATAGATTGTGCTTACACTAACCATTTCTATAATTCGAAACTTCGGGTACAAAGACGTCTGTCCCTGTTCTGTTTTCATTCTTTGACCCAAATTTGGGATTTGCGCGGGAATTTGGCCTTCGAAATAATCCTGAAAATCCACTCGCCATCATTAACTTAACAGTATGAAATAAAAAGTTTTGAAATCACTTAGTTCTAAGCCCAGTGAAAACTCTTATCAAAATGAAAATGAGAATATATTAAAAGTGAAAAATCGACAACTGGACAATAAATAGAGAGTTTGCTTCTAAAACTATGTAGATGCAAATTAACAAGAACTTTCCACGTTTTTAAATTAATAAGCCCACGCACATTTATCTGTCATTGTGTAAGATAACAGACTAGTTCAAAAAATCCTTCTTCCGGAAAAACACTCGAAAAAAATGAATCATTGACATTCATAGAAATTCAAATCAGCTGCTGGACAAGACCTGTGAGAGGGCGCCTGATACTATCCTTCAGGTCATGGCTGGATTCCTTGTAAAAAAGGCCTTTGATGGAATTGGTGGATGTATCTTTGAAGATGCTTCCCAATGGGCCTTTTTTAGTACCACCATTTTCTCGTTCCTTTACACGCACATTTAGAGCTATTTTCGAATCTAAAACAGTTTTATTTTCACACTGACGATATGAAATTTTAATTAAAGTTGTAATTCACGGTCCTTCAGTTTCCTTTTTTCCCAAACCCCTCGCTGTTAATATCCCATGAAAAAAACTCGCTGCTAGTATCCCATAATAAACAAAACTTTCTATACAAATAATACATGTACAAACACGACCACCTTTAAATACACTTGACACATGGAACAGCACACATACACACGCAATGACAGAATCAGCAGAAATGAACGCTTCCTAAGAATTTGTAACTGAAATAAATGGATGAAGACTTGAAGAAAGTTATACATCCACAGCACAACTACAAAGCCGCATACCTATCGTACTGATGGGGTCATTGGTGTCGTCATTACGATCACCGGCCAATGTGACCAGTCGATCAGTGAAGCGAGGACGTCCTCGTCGAGTTCGCGGCTTGCTGTCTATGCCAATATTAAGGTCCATTTGTCATCACTGAATTTCTTCCTTTTCCATCCAACTATTATAAAAAAAATAACTGAATAAAGTCACTTCTTCAACGAATGAAAACGAATGAAGTCGCTTATGAAACAAACAGCCGAATGAGGCAGCCGTAATATATAAAATCGATTTTGTATGCCAGTCAATCAATACAAGTGCAGTAGCATCACTCATGGCTTTTATATGAAGCCAGTTAAGTGGTAAAAGCTAAGGTAGGACTGGGTAAAGAGAAACGCCGAGTAGGGAAACACTCACAAAAACTTGGAGGGATATAAGAAAACAATAGCACAGACCAGTGTTTGTATCCGCTGGTCTGTCACAGTTGAGAGGATCTGAATCTAACAGAAAAACGATCAATATTTCCCGGCAAAGAAGTATTAACTGACCAACCAACTGCTTTATCGTCCTTCCCTTCACGACTTTATTCATGCAGTAATTTCTGATAAATCTCACAAGAGAACAAGGAACCTGGAAATGCTGCACACTCTTCTCTCCACAGAATCTTTGCAGCATTCCATATTAACCATCGAACAGACAGTTTGTAGAAAATAAACAGACAAAATCTGACCTCATCTAACCTGACTTCAGATTCTATGGTTCACAGCGATGAGACAATTGATTGCATAGCGGGTCACATGCTAATAGTGGGCCGCAGCATTTGCTCGATGAGTGATCAGATAGTAAGGATGCGAGGGTCGATACAGGAACAGATGCAGAGAAGCAGGGGCAAGATGGGAAGAAGTATAAAAGGACTAAGGCGGGTGCAGTTATGGCAGAGTGAGGAAGAAGTCCTGGACTGGACGGTTCGCTCTGATCGGGCGGGTGGTGGGGTGGGCGGAGGGTGGATGCGTGTTACCATGTTGCACTGTACCGGGCGGTGCTGTAAGGCACCGTACAATACCGTGCCGTATTGTGCTGCGCAGTAGTACTGCACTACCGCTCCGTTCCGTTGCACTGCAGAGCGGTTCCAGAATCGCAACACGGCAAGCGTTGGAAATATCAGTCCGCAGTTGCGATTTGCAACGGGCTGTAGCCCGAGGTGGGTGGGGTGATAGTGGGGCATGCATGCATTGCATACTCATCCATGTCTTGCTGCTTATTTACCTAGAAAACAGCAAGAAGCAACAGCAGTAGCAGTGTTAGCAGCAGTAGCAACAGGAAAAAGCGAGCAGTAGCGCGACGACTGTACCTGCAGCAAAGAAGCGCTGCATGCAGCAGCAGCACCCAGCGGCGGCATCCAACAGCGGCTTATCAGCAGTGGTACCAACAGTTGAATCCACAACAGTAACTGTCGTTGATCGCCTCAAGCATCAGCTTCTTCAGGCCTATGACAATGTAAGCACTGTTGTTCAATGCTCTCCATCAGTCAAACGATGCACCATAGCGACAGTGCAGTAGACGCTGCATGTAGCGTGTTATATTCCCGTATCATTAGCAGTCCTAGAACCTTCTACATAAGATGACTTCTGTATGCTCTAGGTCACTTAAAAGTCAAATGAAGTAAGCGGGACTAAAACAAGGAAGTGGTTGGGTAACCTGTTGCGTTGCCTGGGATTACCAACGGAGGGACATGTTTTTTTTCAACACTAAAGAGTATAACGAGAAGGCGACGGGAGAAAAGGATGAAAGATGATGTGCAACTGCTTGCAGGGCGACACAGAGCAGGCCACGGATGTGATCATCAAATTGGAGAAGTCCAATTTGACGAAGGAATTACTCGAGGTGAGATATCAGTACTTTCACCCAAAATTGGAAAGTGAGGATGAGCTGGGATACGTCCTAGGGAGTGGGCAAATGGGGAGGGGGGCTTCGTGTACGCCACGCAGCGTCCGACGATTGCCTGCACCATCGAGGCAAAGAGGCGAAATACTCCTCGAGAAGAGCATCCATTCTGGCATCCCAACAACCTGCCTGACTGACCCAGCTCTTTTCTCGCTGCATGCCCAAATTAACTGAGTCTTGCTAGCCCTCTCTTCCGTTCGACTCATCGGTGGTACTGTGTATTTGTTCTCTGCGGGTGGATCCATCTCTCCATCTCTTTCGACTCTCTTTGATCTCACTATTATCTTGAGGGTGATCGATGAGCAAGTTATTGGCTATAAGGATGGAAAGGACTCTTTTTCACTCTTCTACCATAGTCATACGCATACAGGTGGTGATAACTACATGTTTTTCAGATCATTTGTAGGCGCAGAAGGAGGGAGAGAAAGGGACGGTGAGAGACGGGGAGTTGTGGTGTGTTGCGGACGGGAGAGGGATTTGTGCCTTGCAGAGCTAGTTCGGCGCAGAGAATTTGGAATCAAATAGTTCTGTATGAAGTTGAGGTGTCCTTAGGGGTTGCTTTAGTCCATGCACAGCGATCAATATATTAGTCGATCACTAGGTACGGTCGACGATTGCGAGCCGTATACGCAGGTCATATTTGAGGTGAAGGGTAGATTGGTAGTATGGAAAACAAGACTTATTCACTTTACCTGTCCTAGAAAGGTCTGCTGGGGAAAGCTTTCTGCATGGCCTTATATGGTCACGCTGCTATTGTGGGATTCTTGTCATACGCATTCCCCTGGATCGCTTATTTTATACTGTTACGTTCATCCTCCCAGCAGTCATGAGATAACGAGGCTGAGACCACCTTATGTTACCACAAGCCGAGCTTTTTTATCTGTAAATTTTATATAAAGGAGAAAATGAAACAAGCGCTAAACATTCTGCGCTAAACACACTATTCAAATAAAGCTCGGTTGAAAATGCACTTTCTGGTACTAAAAGCGCTGAAGAATAATGACTGCAGAAATATCTTGATTGAAATGATCGGCTAATGTTGACATTGATCTTCTCATTCTCATCTTCTTTTCATTGCTATTTACAATGCCGGAAGGCGAGTGATTAACTTCTTGTACAGATTTTGACATACGAAAATGTTATCGCACACTGATCATATTCGCATTTCTTTGGGCAATAAATATTATTTTGCGTCCACGTGGTTTTTTGTCAGTCAGCAAACACGTGACCGAAGTGATCTTAGTGGAATTTGTTTGAATGGCCCACTGAAACTAGCGGAGCGGAAAGAGTTGTTCCGAAGAGATCATATCATTAGGTAATCCAAGTAGTTCTGGTGTGTCTTGTGACCGACGTTTGAGATGTTTTCTTTCGTTTCGTCGGCAGTTATAATGAATTTCGGTTCTTGTTCAAATTCAGACTGGCTGTCATTTGTTTGCACTTTACACATAAAGGACTTACGAATGTATAGAACAAATAGCGTGGATATGAGAATAATTTCAAGAAAGCTAGAAGTCAGGCAAGGAATCTGGTACATTTACCCACGCAGGGCGAGTTTTTAAATTTCATGCACAGAGCTGTTATTTAAAAGAAAAGAGGAAATCTGCATAGTGTTGGTGAAATACGTGACATTTTATGAGGCCAAAAGGAACAGTCTAATTGTTCCAGTCCTTAATCGCAGTGTAGTCCATATAAATAAACGATAAAATCCTTCTGGCAGAATAAATTTGAATGAAACACTGCAGTAAATGAGTAATGCCATAGTGGATGTGTGCCTGTGTAAGAGCATTCAGAGGGATGATGCTACTGAGTGAAGCAATAAGTGAACTGATTGAAATCACTGGGAAAGACTGCAATGTGAAGTTATTTGTAGTACTATAAGTTGATTCAGTATGTGGTATATGATTTGCAGATGACGAGGGTTGGTGCTGTAGTGAATGACATCCGGAAAAAAGTAGCACAATCAGCACCTGAACTATCGAAACGATGTCGAACGTTGATCAAATGTTGGCAGAAATTGGCCGAACCGAGGCCTACGTCTAGTGATTCTTCCTCCACCAATGGTACTCCCAGCTATGCTTCTCCGGTGATCAGGAAGGGTCTCACGCCGGGCACACCTGCAAGGGGTCCGCGAGTTATTTGTGGTGGCAACTTACGCCTTACACCTGCTGGAAACTCTCGTTTGACACCTCTGAGCAGTTCAGTTCTTACGCCATCTGCCAGTTCTGGTGTGGTCTTTTTTTTTTTTTTCTTTTTACCACTTATGGTTACTTGTAGTTATGATTATATGAAAATTTTAGCATTATAGATGACGATTGCTTCAGTTATAGGTTCACGGAGTACTGTTGCTTCACCAACAGTTTCAAATGGACGCACGGTTACTCTTTACCAAAGATCTGGGCAGGCAATGCCAGGGAATTCTACAGAATTTGGAACTATTCGAAAATCACATACGATTGGTGCTGACCTTGCAATAAAAGCAGTCGAAAGTTCACTATTACCAAGTGGAGAAATTGTTCGAAATGGGAAGAGAAAAGGTGGAAGTATTGCAACCTCCGACATAGGTAAACTTATTGAAAGTATTACATTTGGGAATCTTTCTCTGTATGCAAATTGTTAACGAAATATGCCAATAACATGGAGTAATATATTCAGCTTCAAATGTATTTGATGAGGTATGTCTTTATGGAAATATACGTATTCAGTATTATATGTCGCAGGTATTACAAACGGGTTGAGTGCTACGAAGCGTCTGCACTACAGTTCTGCCTCGGTCTCTCCAGCAATACCACATCAGTCATTGCTTGCGGCCCGACGTGCTGATGTGAAGTCGACAAGTGAATTGGTTGCACAGTTAACGGAGAATTTGCCAGGCTACTTGGCAATAAACATATCACAAAGTCAATATCCTACCGGAAATGAACATGGCGATAACGAGGGACAGGCAAATGTGGTACACAACACTTCAGTTGCATTTAATGTTGTGTCCAGCCCATTTACTAAATGTTATGAAATAGTGTATATACGGAAGAAAATTTATTCTAAATCTTATGGTATTCGTGAAGCGTTTCGTACTACGGCACTTCTCCCTGCTCCTTTTTCAATTTTTGATATCTTTGATATTCGGCAATCAACAGTTTTTCAGGCTGCCAAAATCCCAAGTTTATCATCATCATTTTCATTTTCAGATCATTTTCATTTTCAGGACACGGGTCAAACATCTCGAACACCCATTCTCTTCAGTCTTCAGACAGAAGCTTCCAAGAAGAAGGAAAAACGTGTTCGTTCTAAAAAAGATAAAGAGAAGGAGGGACGGATAAAAGACCAGTTTATCGCAGACGAGAAAGTGGTGGCGGTGGGCAGTGGAAAGCAAGTTTTCTATTAGTTTTTCTGCTACTTTTTCTTTGCTGTTGGTTTTATCGTCAACTTTTTCTGCATATACTTATAAACACGAGTAATTTCTGATATGCACCCAGTCAGAATCTTCGTATTTCAGGATAGCCCCCCATAAAGAGTAATAGGCTCCAATCCAATCTTTAATATGTGATTGTATTACTGGAATTCATTGCTTTTAGATCGACAGTAGGAAATGCAGAACCGGTGACATGCAGTATACCAAATAGACCAAATAGCAGTCCTTCTACTAGTAAGATGGTTGTGCCGACGCGTAACGGAAAATACGATTGGTATGCAATGCTTCCAAGTTTGGAAACATTGCGCAATCGTGAGCATTTCCGCTCCAAACCGTCCAGCAGTCAGCGAAAATCATACATCATGAATGTATTGGGTAGGGAGGTAACTTTTTTCCTTCCAGAAGAGTTCTTCACATGTTATTGAGTAAAAAAAAACACCCATTTTATAAATAACCCTTGTTAACTAATCAGTCTGGTAGCAGATTTCTAGGAAGAAAATGTTTAAATGCAGATACCTATTGCAGGTATTGGCCTTGCCGTATATTGATGTTGGCTTGCCAGATTTTTTGGAGTATCAATATCCAAAACCTGAAAGGTTTTATGCAGAAGAAAATTTCACGTACGGTGCTCCGCGACCAAATTGATTTTCGCATGAGTTTTTTATTCATCTGAATTAATTAGGCAAAAACAGCGTTCTCCGTGTCGTAAATCCAGTCATCAGTAAAATCCAGTCCTTATCACAATCGTATTTTATGTTGTTCATTACTGTAGCTATTTTCTCTCACTAAGTTATTGATCTCATAAATTTTTTTCTTTTTTGAAGTTTAATTAGCAGTTGCTTTAGGGTTCATCGCACTTCTGGTTTTCTATGCGGCAGTGCAATTAGATGCAGAAAAGGCACTCAGTTATTGTTTCTAAGAATTTTCATGAGCTCATTAGCAAATTCTTTGCGTTTATTATGAAAGCATCTTCAAAATGTTGCGCTTGCAAGATACTCTTTAACAAAAAAAAAAATCAATTATACGAAAGTTTTCCAGTGTCCTGAATAGTGAATTGTTTTCATTTGATGTTTACAGTGGTGTACAGTTATTTTTCTTTGTTGTTCTTCTGTTATGCATTATTTGGGGATAAGGACATTAAAACAAACCAGCTTAGCCAAAGCTTGAAATATGAAAGTAAATTAAGTTGTCGAGTGCAAAAATTTGAGATCTGGTAATACTGGAGTGAATATATATAGGTCGAGAAGAGGTTTGGCTTTTGTTGTCTTCAAAAAATGAAGATTTAATCCAAGTTTTTTCTCCTTCTTGCGAAGGAGAAAAAAGGCTAGGTATAATTTTCACTGTTATCTTTTTGTTATCAATAGTCTCGCTCAGATAGCCCAACTTTAACCTTTGAAAGTAGTGGACGCGAGCCAGAGATTGTCTTAGTTTCCCGTTCGTTTAACCATGCATTCAAAATAATCGCGTGTTAGAGTTATGCATTGAATTTGATTTAGTTTTTTTCGAATTTATATTTTTTGTTACCTTTACAGGTATGATAGTGCCTTATTTGGTCATATTAAAAGTGTAAATTGAACTATTTTTTTGAATGTTATGTTTTTTTTACTAGTTCATTCCTGCTCTTTATTTAATTTTGTTCTAATCTAACCCCTCTATGACAGCACCAACATTCCGTGTTTGACTTGCGTCCACGAATAGTTCTTTCATTTAATGTCTTGAATCTATATGGTTTTCATGCGTTTTATTCCCAAGTGGTCATTTTCCCAACATATTTGTATCCTTTTGAATGGTGAATGGTTCAGAACCATTCTGACAGTATGGAAAAAAAAATAAGCACCCTATGGCGGACGAATTACACACGGTCCTCCTCCGTCATATATTAAAATTCATGATGTATTTTATTCGCCATACTGGCTTCTGCAGTTCTTCCTTACTAGTAAAGAAAATTTATAAATGGGAAGCTTTTTTTTTTTAAACATTTGGTTCCTCTGTACTTCAAATTCGTTTGGAAGTGGTGTCTGTTGCACAACCTTTAATACCGTTAATTTTTTATCTCCTAATGTTTCTTTAGCATTCTGATTTTGCTCATTTTCAAAGCTATTATACAGTATACGAATGTTAACAAACATGTTCGGTTAGTTTGGTTGTGTTGATCCGAAACAGAAAGTAAATTCTTAAATGTATAATTTACCTCTTTACTGTGCTCATTCACTTGATATAGAGTTGTGATATGCAAATGAATCAACGGAACGTTCTCTAATGTGTTTGGTGGATTCTGGCAAGTTATTTGTAGATTTATACATGCTTGTAAGAATTTGCTGATGACTTGGGATCACTATGAGCCTGAGTTGCAAATTATCAAAATGGAGTTTTAATTGGAGTGGTGAGGGTTCGGTATAAAGAATGATATTGGAGAGCATACAGTATGAGTTTGGTAGATCTTGTCTTCTTATACATATCTTGCATATGCAGTTGGTAAGAGTAGAGTGAGTCAGCGGGTCTTAAATCAGAAATGAGTTGAACATTAACAATGTGTCTAAATGGATCGTTGGTATTATCATTTTCATATTACGACTGCTTAGGTTCGCCTGTTCTTGTGTTTGGTCCCTGTCAAATCCTAACGATATGGAGCGACGGTATTTACGACCCGATGAACGTTATCCAGTCCCACTGAATGAAAGTTTCTGGATAAATATCGTATGCACCAATAACGTAGGACGAAGTGCTGGAATTGCGCATGAGACGGATCAGATGTATGCGTCTAATGTTGTCGCTGAGGTTGAGAGAACTCTCCGAGAAAACAAAGAAAATATCGACAGTGCTATAATGAGACAGGTTTTTTTTTCTAAGATTTTCCTCAAAGTGATTGGAATTGACGTTCACCAGAGTAGGCGAGTGATACAGTTCCATTCTCTCTGGAAATCATGTTTTATCGCCTAACTAGACAATGTTTACAAATTGGCACTTCAACGGAGAAACTTCGCGTGCTATTCTGCCCAAATGCTGATTATGTTATGTATCAATTTTTTTGCTATGTCACCACATAGAATAATAATTTGGGAAGCGAATTTATACTTTCAAGTTAAAAGGAACACCAAACATTATTTAGACGATAAGACAGGGTTGGTAATGCTTTTTCTGTGTGGTAAAGTTCAATGCGCTACAAGTAAGTCTTTCAGTATTGTAGATAGCACCCTCAGCGGTAAATGTTACGGGCATTCAATACGAAAATTTGATAAGCTTGAGTTTCGACCACGATGAATTAATAAGACAGGAAGAAAGCAGACGAAGACGAATGCGTGAAAGGACCATCAATACTATACTGAGGAAAGAATGATGATGTATAGAGATATGTTGTGAACCTTCGTGTAAACTTTTGTTATTTACATTTAAATCAATTGTTGATAGGCTGAATACGGTGGGCATCAGGAATAATCGTACGGTTATTAATTAATTAGAGGTTACTGGTTTCAAATAAGTTTTCTTGACGAGGATTATGTTTCGATGATATCGAGGGCGGTGTTACATGTACATAAGGGAGGAGAAAGAAAATTGAAGTGCAGGTATAACTGGGTTATAGATGCCAATTTTTGTTTTCGGGAAAAGACTTGACTCCTCCAGAATAATGAAATGAGAATTTGGGAAAGTTTTTACTTTAAACTTGCAATTAGACCATTACTTTGAAGTACTTTGAAGTCATACTTTGAACTGCAAAGAAAGGACGCTATTTTCCACTTTTATTCTACTCGTAAATCTGTATCACTGTTTTTGTTTTCCTTCACTCTATAGCTCATGCATTTGTGAATTTTTTGAAAAGAAATAAAGAAGAGTGGAGTTCAAATCACGCTGAAATACGGAAACGTCTGCATGTATCTAGCACGCATAGTTTCTAACAATCACTTTCAGCGTGACCCGCTCACATTCCTCATTTGCGAGAGACAGCTGCATATTTGGCTTAGTGATTTTCCGTCATGTCCTTTTGGAATATACGCCGCTGTATTTAGACACTTATTGATTTGTCGATGATATGAGCTTTTGGGTGAAGCGTTTGTTATTCGTTAAAAAATTGATGGGCAATCGGTTGATTGCAGATTGATGAATGCACAATCAGGTGGGTTATTCGGTCATCAGCATGAACCCGAGCGTCTCGCCACTGCTATTTCTCACATCGAAAACAAAGCGCTCGATGTAAAAACAAATATTGAGCAGCTCCTATTTATGCTTGACCTGCAGGAGGAAGTGGAATGGTTTGTGGGCCATTTTTATGAAGAGATTTTTTTTCTGATTTGATTTGATATTTGGTCATTTTGTTCGAATCCTATTTTTACAATGACCCTTAGTTTTAAGGCCTGTGCGTTAATTACGGTATTGATTTGTAGGCAGTGCAGTGACTTTTTATTTTCGAAATTTGCTCTGCATATTTAACTTTTAAGGCCTGATATATTGGACAAATTTTCATCGCTTGCCAGTGCAATGACCCAATTACAATTTATATTAAAAAAGTCAGCTCTGCCATCCGGATTCGAAGATTTTGGGTTCTTTTTGAGAACTCATGTACTGGTACCTCACTGCCTTTCCAATGATATAGATCCTAATCTCCAGGTACATTTTTATGTAAAACCTATTTCACGGCAGCATATGTAAATAAATTCCCGTTGTGTAATCAAAATGGGTCGCCGTGAAAACAAAAAATGTCGCAATTTTTCGTACTCAAGCTTGTAAAATACTAGACTTTCTTGTACTTCTTTCTGAAATCCAGACAGGTGTTTATGCACTTCCTAAAATTCAGACAGGTATGTAGATTAAATCGTTGAGCCAGAACTCGAAAGAGAAGTTTTGGTTACTTCTTCAAATAAATTCCGAAAACTTTTTTCTGAGAAAAAACTGACCGGTCTTTTAAAAGTATACTTGCCTTATGACTTTTTTTTCGAGAGGATTATTTCTCGAAACCCTCTTTTTAAATCGACATTTCTAGCAAGCCACTTCAAATCGCATTCACTGCTGGAATCACGATGTTTGTCCGGATTATTTACGCACAAAACTGACTCCTGAAGTGGAAGCCGACGAATCGCATATTGATAATGAGAAGAACACACGAACGTTTGATCAGGTTATCTCTATACAAAGACATACTGATTTTAAGAATTCCTTTGAACTTTGTTACCTATAGCGTTCAGAATGTGACAAATGAAATTCTACGGAAAAAGAAAAAAAAAATCAGTGCATATGAACTGTTATATCACTAAAACCACCCAATCAGTGTACTGTGTTAAATGTAGTAAAGACCTGAAAATAAGCTATTTGGTTGATGTTTGATTCTATATGCAGTATTTGAGACTGCTTAATGTAAATATTACAAAGCAGAGACCAATGGCATAGTTCCAGCTGAAACTAAGTGGCACGAATTTTTGTAGTTAGCACAGTAAGCTTAGGGAATTCAAAGCGATTTCTTAAACCATTCCTGAAATTGTTAAATGTGAGGTATTTTTATAACAGTTTCATTATTGAACTTTTAGGTTTAACAGTTAGCCAAGACTTGAGAATTAGAATAACCTGTTGTTAGGTAGATAGGCAAAGAAGTCTTTTTCAGGTAAATAAACAAATATTGGCAATGAACAAACACGTCGAGACATTGTTGGCATCAATGGCCGAGAATGCCCGTAGTCAGACGGAAATACAACAAGATGTACCGACTTACAGCGGTCAGGATACTCAGAAGTTGGTGAGAGCTGTTGTGAATGGAGAAGGACTACGTCCATCAAAAACTCTTGTCCCACCCGAAGGTGGCGTTACAGGAACCTCTGTCAGTGGATCACATGGGGCTGTTCGAACGCCAGGAATGACGGCATCTCCACAACAAAGGCGATAATTTTGATTAATGTTCATTACGTATCAATACGTATTCTGAGAAATACTGTTGGTATCGATTTTTTGAAACATAAAAAAATAGCAGTTTGTCATTGCACACTTTTTGCACTTCTTCAAGTGTAAAATGCGATTTCCCCCTGTAATATTTTTTAACTGTTACAACGAATGCATCCTAAGGACGTCGGATCGAGTTCGATTAAGGAGCCCTCACTAAATACCACAAAAATATGTACTAATTGTTGATGTCCATTTCAAGCCATTTTTTTTTCAATCCGAATTTCTTCAAGTATAGAGACTAACATGAAGTGTTCTTGGTTATAACTGACAAGATGTGAAACGATCCATGTAATTTTTTTTTTGCAAATGCCTCATCTCTGCTCATACACTCTTAAGGTTCATGCATATGGTGAATGAAACCTGTGACTGAAGCATTAACTGCGTTTAAACAAATCCCAAACAGGTTGATAGCGAGGGAAGGAGGGCAGTGTGATGTCAACTAACAAATAAAGATCTGAATGGTTTTAATCAGTGAAAGAAATAACAACATCAACAAAACATGGTACAATGATTCAGTCACAAAGAGCACAAATTCATTCTACAGAGGAATAAACACTACTGTACGGTAAGATAAATTCTGATGAGTTCCCAAACATATAAACGCTAGTTATCACCTCACATTTAAAAATGAGATCTCATTCAAATTTCAACAACGGATTTCGTTTCTTCTCCATTTCGCTAAAAACTGCAACAGAGGATAGAATCATGCGTAAGTATATAGGCATTAGAAAAATTGGAAATCACAAAAACTATTATGAATTTCACAATCCCTCCATAAATATTTCATAATCCCTTCACAAATAATTCCATAATCCCTCCCATATTCCCTTCATGTGCGAAAGAAAATTGCGCTGTTAGGTTCCACAACCTTAAATTTATATAATATATCAGTATACATGGAACTACGTGTGTGTTGGGAACAAACTTTGGAAGTAAGATCGTAAGTACAGTGGTCTCAATTGATTACTCCCATTCTGTGGTGCCTGGTGGTTTTGATGTAAGGTCGATCATGATACGTGATGTTAACGGCACGCGCTCCGTAATGCGACGTACAATTTCCAATACGTTCTGGAAAAATTATAGCCAACAAAGACAATAAAATGTAAATTATGTGCAAACTGCAACATACTGAAATACGAAGGTACAAACTTAAAACTACATCAGTGCCGAAACATCAATCAATTCAAATCAGCGCTTCTAAATATGAAATCTACTCAAGGAACATCGGTCTTTTAATATTTCATAAAAATTAGCAATCGTCTGAATACTACATTTCCAGGCTAGCAAGAAATGAAACAATTTTACGATCTGTTACCTGTTCGGGGATATCTTTTCCCGGTAAAGCAGCAACACCTGTCATAAAATCATTTGTTATAAAAGGACGAAGAACAAAAGATCGCAGCGTTGATGCCCTTCGTTCCAGAGGATCTCTGTCAAAATGAACAGGAATCATTACCACTGGCATCTAAATTAGTGAAATTATGACTACAGAAGTGTTCAACCGCTAAGCAAGAAAACATATTTCATATTCACATCTGAAAAAGGAAGAAAAAAAAAACCTGCTGTATTTTTTGTAAACACACTTCCAAATTGGGGTCCCTCTTACCATTCTCGTCTAGCCCACGAAGAACATCAGAAGCCATTCTGTCCGCCCACTTTAGTAGGTCTACTGTGAAACCGTTCAAATATGTGCGCGTGATGTCATTCACCGGATATTCAACCGCATTCCCGAAAACATACACTACTCTGTAAAACAGGAATCAACCACTTTGGAAAGCATATGTCTATTAGTGATAGTAGCAAAATAATAGTCAGACAACTCACAAAATAATCACATCAACTCGTTACTTTTTTCCTATATATCCAATAATAATAACCGGTTTATATTGTGTAGCAAGCGAGGTATAACATGAGCCAATCGCTCTAACAGCTCCCATGGAATAGGCCTTTCGTTTGTGGATAGTGCGGCTGCATATGCATAAGATCGTCCGTCACCTAAAATACTTTGTATGCTAACGAAACTCCTTGCAGTGCAAATCTCCGTTTCATCAACTTTAATTATATGATCGGAAACAAGAAGACTGGATAAAATTAAGATATATTTAGAATGACAAATGAAAAAACAAATTCTTCAAGTTAATTATAACAAACATGAATTAATCATACTTTCATTTCCTTTTTTATAGTGTTAAATTAACAAAAAAACGACAAACAACCTTGTACTCCAACCGACTGCACTGGTAAAAGAGTCGTTGCAATTTCAAAATCATGGTCACTGATAGCTTTCAAGTCAACTTCCGACAAGTACTGAGTTATGGTACTGAATTCTTCGGACTGAAACCATTATAACTTTTCAAGCCTAGTTCGTAATTACAAAATTTATTTTCACAATGTACAAAAGAAGTATTTCCATAAATTTCCAATTTTTAATCTGCTCTCCATGAGCGAATTAGAAAACCGTTTTATGCGAGATTAAACTACTACAACCACAACACTACAGTTAATTATTTCGCAAAATGAGGTAGCCACACAAACCACACCGAAACTTACCTTGTTAAACGCTAAACGAAGTCCCATATTTCTGGCAAGGGCTAATTAATTCTTAATCCAGCAGTAGAGATAAACTTACATCCCTATCACAAAGCGAAAGGTTTGCAACCATGTGCAAATGGTGCTGAGTAGTAACGAAAAGATCGAGGTCAGTAATTAATGGACGTTCGGCACAGACGATCCGAATAGCTAATCCTGGACCTGAAAGATTATACCACATTCTATAAAACAACCTGAAATATAAAAGTGTGTCTCCGCCACAAAACTTAGAATCATCGGTCCTTCAGCAAGAAAATTGCTAGTTCCACTATCTGCTGATGAAGTATATGCTAAACACGGTTAATGACTACTGCAGAAAAGATAACAATGACAACAATAGATAAACAATCGTGACACGTTTCTTATTTCATCTATCTTGCCTTGTTTTGATCTACCAAATGCCGAAATGTTTTTCTAGTTTTTTTAAGCTCCTGAGATGCAGGTCTCTTTCTCACTATGTGGAAGTTCTAGTCAGTTTTAAAAAAAAGCAAAACAAATTTGACCGCAACAACGCAACATGAAATGAAAAATAACCTGGGTAAGGATGTCGATGGACAATATGTTCAGGCAAACCTAGTGATATTCCTAACTCACGAACTTCATCCTTGTGAAAATCTTTCAGTGGCTCCAAAACTTTGCCCTGGAAATAAGTTGTTGCCATTTAATTATAACCGAGTGAGTAGCATTCGAAGTTTAATTATTGGTCAGAGGCGAAGAGCACCAGTTCATTGTTTTTTTTTCTTTTTTTCATGTTAAAAGGAATTCAAAAATTGATAAAAAGCAAATGACATTTACCAAATCCCTTAGTTCGCGGACAAGAGCACTATCATTGTGATGGGTTTTAATAACATCTGCATGAGAACTAGCCAAATGTGACGCGCTTTCAATCAAATCTGGTCTGAGCGTACCTTGTGCCAAAAACACATCCTTATCCAACTTCAACTAAAATGAATCAGTAAGACGTTTGAATCCAGTAAATTCATTAAATATTATGAAATCTGATGCAAAGTAGTACTGACCTCATCCATTATTTTATCTTTCACTCGCATGAATGTATCACCGATTATTTTACGTTTCACCTCGGGCTGCACCGTCCTCATTAGAGGTGTTGAAAGTTCGTTTTCCATTGGTATTCGGCCATTCATAAAGGCGTAGAAAGCATTATACCCTAAAAAACACATTATTTTATATCATGCTGAACAAAATAGCCAATTGAAAGATGAAATATTCTAAGTAGTTTCAGACCTTTTACTTCCATTGTCTAGTTTTCCGTCCGGATCAATGAGTTACTCCAACAAATATGAACATCATAAGTTTAAACCTGATTTATTGTTTATCTGAACAAATTTTTGTCATATACAAAATGAGAAAAGCTAAGCAATATCACTGCACCAACTTCCAATGTGTAATCCAGGAAGATATTTAACAAATGAGAAAAATCAGTTAACGATGGAAACTGATTTTAACTCTAAACACAAACACCGTTATTTAGATAAAAAATTAACAGCATAAAAACGTTCCTGCAATTTTGCTAGCATAAATTGAGAAATCAAAACAAGAAATACAGCGTACTTCGCACTTTCAAATTCAATTTGTTCAACGACTCCACAACTCGATCACTTTCACTGGTACGCATAAAACCGTTATCGATGTGTACAGCAATCACTCGATCACTTCCTAAAGCTTTGTGAAGAAGAGCAGCACATACCGTTGAGTCCACCCCACCCGACACCATCACCTAAACATAATGTCTGGTGCTACTACAATCAATAAATTTCTAGCACATATTTCTAGCATGTGATACATCTTAGTATAAAACTCACTGAAAAAGAACTTCCCCCACATCAAACAGTATTTCATATAGAATATTTAAAGGTACTAAAGGACCTACCAACACTTTCTTATCCACTACAACAGAACGAATTTCTTGGATACATTTTTGTTCGCGATTATCAATTGTGAAACCACCAGTGACACCAGCTATTCCAAAGAGAAAATTATGCAAAATTTCCTTTCCGCAGATAGATAAATCTACTTCAGGATGAAACTGCACGCCGTACAACTTTCGCCTTTCATCAGCAATTGCTAAAGATGTTTGAAAAACAAATGATTACGATAACTCCAAGATTTTCGATAACAAAAAACATAGATGCATATGTCACGAAGCACAGGCTGAAGCAGGCAGTAACAAAGGTTTCTTAAACATTAAATACTACGAAGCCTAAAAGAAAGCTAGACTAACCTGCAACAAAATTTCCACTCCTACCCACGACTTTGAAATCACTAGCTACAGTTCCTTCAGTGACACTATCACCATGGGTTAATAGCACCTTCTGCCGGGTTGCAAGTCCCTTGAACAATGGACAGGTTGTATCAACATCAATCTGCAAAAATCGAAGGCTGTAGCAACGCAAAGCTCTTACAATACAGCTTTCATAGTGGTTATTAAGAACTGCACTGGAACCACATCAAGGTTGACTAATCATTCAAATCCTTTGATTGCTGATCTTAATGGGTTTTCCCATCCAAAACTTTCTTACACAGCTTGTAAATTACAAACTCCACAGATACCTTCCTACTAGTCTAGAATGTCGAAGTACACCGAAATAACACATGAATAATCTTTCTTGATTAACTTAAAACCTCTGGCACATATATTTCACACCTTGGTGATGCATAATCGCTATTATCACAGTATCACAAAACTATATCTAGTTCTTTTCTAATCACTACATGCATTTTCGGGAAATGTCTGAAAATACCTCAAGTTGCCCATCTTCTCGTACAGATTTTTTGGACACATATCCTCCAAATGCTTTGTTTATCAGCTGAAAAATGTCAGCATGTTTCAATCAGTTTGAGGGATAGCCAGTATGGTAGAATTATTATTGAAATAACATCTCAATCATCAATGAAGCCTTATTGAGTAACATGGTGCAGGAGTAAATCGATTGAGTAAAGACATGTGTACAATAAGAGGAAGAAATACCTGAAAACCATAACAGATGCCGAGGACTGGGATACCACAAGTCAATATAGCAGGATCAAATTCAGGTGCATTGAATGAATTTACAGAATTTGGTCCACCACTCAATATGATCGCCCTATACAGAAAATTCTGTGCTTTTCGAAGTAAACGGAATAACTTCCGAAAATACAAAATAGAAAAGAGAATAAAATTAAATCCAGTTCCATTAAATGAAACCCATTATTTCTGTAAAAGTTGAAGTGGATTAAACAAGTCTGAACCCAAAGACATGATTCTGCTTACGCAACAGAGCTTAATACGTACTTGTAGCACCCTTTTTCGACCATATCAGCTGCTTTTGTGTTAAACGGTAAAATTTCGCTAAAGACATTTTGCTCACGAACTCGACGATCGATAACCTAAAAATCGAAGACATTAATTTAAAAAAAAAAAAAACGGTAGGACTAAGTTTGATAATGACCTGAGATAAATGATCTGAAAACGTAATACTTCCGTTTCTATACCTGTTGTTAGAAAAATATGTGAAAGAAAAAATATTATCACAAGTAGTTCTTTAACTCCCAAAACAGTTTAACAGAAGCAAGAACAAAGCGTTCCAATTTACATGCGGTATATTATGAGTGAAATTCATATTGAACAACAGTAAAATTACGCTTTTCTGATTCCTTTTATGCTATTAAAAGAAACACATACAGGCTAATGTATATTAGTTTTGCGAAATATCTAATTATGATTGAGATAATCATTAACTATTGTAAATGAAAGTTACAAAGAAATAAATAGCATACACAAAGTTTGAACAAGTATAACATTTAAACATTGGACTGAAAAACCAAGTTGCAGACAAATGCAATTCCTGCTCCAGCAATGCATGTTGATGAGATGATTTGGAACAAACTTCTCGAAACAGTTTCAAAGCAAAAATTTTTTGATGGCAATTGTTTTAGTATTTGTTATACACGGTTATACAACTTTTAACAACCTTGTTATACAAGTGATAATATGGGCTAACAAAATCCTTTGATTTAGGAATTTATGCATGTATAGCAACTTCGTTTTTTTCAAAAAAATATACTTAACAGCAAGTTAAGACAAAAACATAAATTTAGTTACCTTCCCAAATTGAGCGCCAAAATCGAGTATGGCAACGCCTCCTTTGTAAGCATTCTCTAACTTTGCATTATTCAGATGAGTAGCAGTAGCAGTGCATCCATTTGGAACATCTGTTGCTTTTTTACCGTTGGTACAGTCAAAAAAATGTTGCACTTCCATGCTTACTGATGCATCCGTCGAACAAAGGGTGAGAAAATCTTTGCTCAGTGGAACCATATGTTGTGATGGCGATTCCTCTGACGTTTTTCCTTCCTGTAACTGAAACATTAAACACGTAATTGAAATATCTAAATAAATACAAAGCATTGAACAATCATGAAGAATTCATAAACAATATAACTTCGCTTGTCGTGCCACCAAAAGACTCTCTTGTATTTAAATACTTTTTCTGCAGAAAAATTCATTTGCTAGATTTTCACAGTAATCATTTTTTCTTTTTTTACTCCAAACTAAATAAATATAAGTCAATTCCCATCCCATCTAATGCAATTCTTTTTTTCCTTTGCTGCATCTGAAAGTCCTTGCAAATGTAGCTGAATTTTAATTCTAAAAAACTATTTTGGGAAAGAACAAAGGAAGCGTGAGAAACCTAAACCTCCAGCAGGACAGAAAATAACTAACTTCAAAAGGGACTCAAATTAAGCATAACTAGCGAGAAGTATACAATCGAGAATATTTTAAGACATCAGTATATATGCACAGTTCTAACACCATTCAGTAATCATCATCAGTACAAACACAGGTGGCTAAAAATGAGATGGACTACGGCACACCCGCTATCAAAAAAAAAACGGAAAACGATTAATTGGAAAAGAGAGCGACGGTAATGTGGCCTTAGTTCACTTAATGAGCTAACATAGCTGTTTTTCCTCCTCACTCTTATATCATGAAAAAAAAACTTGCACAAAGCATGCAGTCGCTTTTGCATTCAGCTTTAGGAACACGCATGACATTCTACCGGCGCTGTGTGCCCATCCAACAAGAATCAGTATATTGTCCCTTATCCACACATCACAACGCACACTCACTGATTTTCCTTTACAATATTTTTCAAGTTAATTATCTCTTAGATAAGAACACCTTACGACCAAAGTATCCTTATAAGCACAGAAACCTAAACGACCAGAAAAAAGCATTTCAGAAGAATATATGAAGTGATACGAAATAAGCGATAGCAAAGTTTATTGCCATCCAACCATACTAGGCAACTAGAATGTTTATTAATAAAGTCATTAAGTATGCTCAGTACTGGAATCAAACCAATGAAAAACACAAAGATATTACCAGTACAGTTAGAATGCACCAATAAGAGTACTTGCACTTATTTAAAAAACAGAAAACTATAAATCATATCTCTCTCCCGTCCCCTACTCATTCAAAATAATCACCATGTCTTCGATACTGACGTTATAAAACCTCATCCCTAAAAATTCAAGTCTTTAGAAACAAATTTCTACTGCAACAGATTGGGTTTTCCTTCTCGATTCCTAATATCTAAGTCCCATCAAATTTCGATCGGAAACTATGCCTTACCTCTCAGCTTATGTGCAGTTGCTTTTGGATACAAAAATGGAAATATTCCTTCTGATTTCAAACAGAATATATCGAGACGACTCTGATAAAGTGGAATGAAAAGAATTTCAATATGTGAAGTGACTGAAATACAGAATAAGCGTTAAGTGCAAAAAAATAAAAATATGTTGTGCTTGTTCAATAAAGTTCCTTGAAGTGGACAATTAAAACGACCTAAATCCAGCTATTACAAATCATTAATTTAAAAACCGAAAAAAAGTTAAAAAACTGACCCAAATTTAGGCTTGAATTGTGAGCATACATTTACAAAGATCCAAAAAACAAAGAAGGGAAAACCATAAATTTTGAAACAAAGAATTCTATCCGAATGATCGGTCAAAAGGAAGCTGCATACGAAGAGCTATAAAAACCTCCGAAAAAAAATTAAGCGATGACCAGAGGCAGACTCACATCATTTTTGACTTTAGATTTATATTAAGTAATTTATATTAAGTATATTTATATTCAGCAATGGACTCATAAAACATTCACAAGAATACAAGAAATCACGAGGCAACAAAGTAAGGAAACTACTTTTAATGTACAAATACACTATTTCAACTAAGGCAGTCGAAGCTTTTTATTGTTTCAATACCCGTAGTTAACCCATTCTTCCACATAAATGCGATATGGCATTCAACTGCATCACGTCACCGAATTTGAAGTGCCATTTTTCATTACCTAATAGTTGCACTGCTACTGAAGAGTGTTCTGCTGTAACCAGTTTTACTTTTTTTTGGAGTATTCATGAATTTCTAGGAAAATTATTGATGAATTTACGGAAATAAAGTTTACCTTCAATGAATCCGTGCCAACTGTAGCATTAATAGTATGAGATGAGCCAGTTACAACAATCTCTCCATTACATATGGGAGGTTCATATTTTGCTTGTGTTGCACCATCCGGCAATGTTGGGGACGCTGTTCGTTTCATTGCCTCACCTTCAGTACTTCTATTTGTTTCACGGTGGTCACTGCTACTTCCAGGGCTATTCCTTGATGATGGACTCCGCTGCAAAATTCATATCCCGGAATAAACTGATTATTGTATTTATTTTTCAATTTTACTGAAAAAATAAAACGTTCCATAAAACGTCTTGGAAGATCTTGCACACTTCATCTTCAAATCTTATTATTTTGAACTACCCTCAAATAAAAAGTAATGAAAATTGATGAATTTTTGAACATATCCAAATCCACATAGTAATCTGCACTTAAAAGCTCCCGAACTCCTTGACAAAAATTATGTTTGCATCTCAATTCTCGTAAATATATCTATGTAAATGAAAACTGCTTTTATTCGTATTAGAATATGTTGCACATAAAATACCTTTGTTTTCTTCCGCAAAAATGGTCGCAAAATACTGGTGTGCTTTTTCGACGAATTGGGTAATGTCCTCGGCAGAGAGGACGAATCGCTACTTTTGGTACTGCCAAGTGTGTCGGATTTGTTATGTGAGGAGTCAGAAACTGGATTAGTTGGATTATTTGGGTCAAACGATGAAGACAACGAGGAACCCGTGTTAAGCAACTTTAAATATAAACCTCGGAATGGTGCCACGCTCTGTTCCTGCTCACCGGCTCCAAAATATTTGTTGGTATAAGTGTAAGGCAAATTATGCGGTGAATGCTGCAAACACCGAGTCATTTCAAGGTTCTATTAATGACCTGATCAATATACAATCTATTCGTATTTGCAAAGAGGCCAAAAATCTAATTACACGCAGCTCTTTATATAACTCTTTTTAATTTAGTATCTCGAACATCACATACTGATCTACACTGCTTCTATTTTTTCAGATGGCGACCCGCCTCTATTTCTGATCTCATAACAAAGAAGTTTCTACTACCTTGGCATACTCAATCCTCAAATTATGTCATTTTATACAAATTCCGTTTTTTTTAAATTTGGAAAATATTTTTAATATTAAATTTAAAAAATTTGATTTTTTAAATATAGCTTCAGTTATCATGAGACTCCACGAATTATATGAAATTGAGAAAAAACGAAACAGAACAAAAGGCACTATTCAATAAATATGAAAGGGAAGCTATGTATACCCTAGAAGCATAAAATCAGAACCAAAAATAAAAACGACCCTTGAAAAACGAACAAATAAGCGAATTTAGCTATAATTTTCTACAAGAAGCAAAACAAAAAAAGTGCACGTTTCTAAGGTTCATGAGATCCATCACTCAAGGATAAAAACAGAACCGGAACTTCAGGAAGTGGAATAAAATCTTTGTTTCCGCCATTCTACGCAATATTTTGGATGAAAACTAGGTAAAAGAGTCAGGATGGACAAACAAATAAAGACAAAATATTCAGAAAAAAGGAAAAAAAAATGGACAATTCTTTAAGCATCCATGACCGCTCTTTACGAAGGCGTCAATTTTACAAAGCACAATAACAAGGTGAACTGGAAAGTTAATACACGATATCAAAATCGGACTAGATGAAGCCGCCTGAGATAGCAAGTATTAAGACAAATATACTTTATTATATACTTATAATAAAAATACTTAAACTGCATTTACATACATGCAGGTATCAATCTTAGATAATTGATGTTCAGAACCAAATATACAGTATTAGAATACTTCGTTATTTTAGACCTTTCTATTGAATATCATATGTGTGGAAGACATGCATTTTCGATATTGAACTTTAACTCTCATGACAGCACGGAACAGTAGAGTTTCTTGTTTGCAAAAATCAACGAAGTTCCGTTTTTGTTTTGTTCCAGTGAGTAGAAAAAAAATTAGATAAACGGATAGTCAGCATGCTTGAATTACAATGAGATTTCAAGCAAAATTTGTCTGAGATATGAAAATCATATTGAGCTTAAAAATGAACGTTGTTGCACGCTAATTCCATCACCACTATAATTTTCATGGAAATAAAATCTGGAAAACTATTGTTGTAATACTTTTCAAACTAAGAATTGTCCAGACAGGATTCAACTACGCATATGATTTGTTATATATGATTTGCTCAAACTGCGAGAGAATGAGCCAAACGATAGGATTCTTCGCTTAGTAAAAATCTCGTGAAACACGAACGCTTGTTGCAACGGTATTCAAAATGTCAAAAGAAGGAAGAGTTCATTATGCATCTGCTCGGTAATCTTAAACACTTAGACCACTCAGACTCATGGGTCAATTTTCATGTGGGTAAGTTGGGTTAGTATCCGAATTTAGCCCTATCTGCTTACAACTACTGAGTGATCTGGCCGTAGTTAAGGATATAAAAAGAAATGCCCCACAATTCTTCAACGTGTATAAACATTAGACTGAAATATGCGATATGATTTACAGTGAAAAAATATCATGCAGTAAAGCAATAGACGTTAAAATAGCTCAGAGTGACAATTAATTGTAAATTTGCAGGCAGTTTCCAAATAAACACGATTGCATGGTAATACTGATAGGACGAACATGATAAGTGACTTACTTTGCTTGTTCGGCCTCCAATTTTGATTAAAGAAGCCAAGATGACTCAATACTGAAATGGAATATATCTAGAAGTGATGTGACAAAAAAGAAAAATCCAAAATTTTCAAATTATAGAAGATCATCCTGCACCCAGTTTACAGCCTCTTGACGCCTCTACAAGCAACTTGTAGTTCCCTCTTTTGGGATCCCACACGAGAGATCGCGGAAGGACAATAAACTACAATGAAACCAAGCCACTCAACACACTCATTATGCGCCAAGTGTTCGCCGCCACTACAGTGAAGCTGGCAATAGTTCAAGACGAAGTCTACGGTATATGATACAATTGCTCTAAAGCAATTGTCAGCTTTAGCAGCTTTAAAGAACTTTAAGGAATCATAAGTGAGTGTGTAATGATGTATTTGCATGTGCCAAGTTGGATCGTGACTAAGATTAGAAATTTTAGTGTTCATTGTTTAGCAATGTTTCCTAATACCCCTACACTAATTTATGCTAACAAAGCGCTTTACCAACCTTATAATCGTAAAACCAGTCCTTGAAGGATGTACATGTAAACCCTGCAGATAGCAGGAGGACATCCTTCAGTTTTCTTATTCTTCAGGTTGATGTCTTCGGAATTCGTCTTGTGGCGACGTTATTCTTAATGATTTATTATACTAATATTGTTTCCTTTACTTAATGGTTCAATTACCAAATTTGAGGTGGAAATAAAGAAAATCTTGCAACTGTGCCATGTTGGCAAAATACTTTCAAAAATTTAAAAATTCTCCACTAAAATCTTTCACTCAGTTTGCCCATTCCCTAGCAGTCAGATATTCTGAAAATAAGTAAGATTAATCATGGTTATCCCTTCACCAATCAATTTGCTTTCGAACATAGAGGGATTCCGTCCTCACTGTTCTTTTCTAATAACCATTTTGAGAAGGTTTAATCTTCAATCATCAGTCCTCACCATTTCGATGGTATTTGTGACACTGCACGTCTTCAAATGATTTATTTCATACCTTTCTTGCAAAGGAATAGAATTGAATACATTGCGTGATGTTGTAAAAACTCCCACCTATTTTGACCATTTCGTTTGAAATCGAAACGCTTTATTTTGGACTCTTAACTTCTAATACGATTGCTCGCAGTGGAGGGTTTTAAATTTTAAACGGAATCAATATTTTTTGAAATATGTCCCGTTGTTGTGTTCTTTTTCCTTTTTTTCTTTTTTGTGACATATGACGGCTTGGATGGTTTTGAATTACATAACAGAAAGGAAGGGTAACATATGACCATAGCTGCTCCGTTTACCAATTGAGAGCAACACGGAAGGAAGCGAAGGCAAAATACCCGCCACTGTCTGCCAAACTTTGCGATCAATTTCGTCCCATCCTACTTACTAATACAGTTGTAGATTTTGTTGATAGATATTCCTTTCATGTAATCATACTCCACATCCTGCTCGATAACTCACTGCATTGTGATTTATATATGAAATATTTCGTTAATCGTACGACGTTTCCTGAGACCTAATGAGTACATTAGGAAACAGCTGTACCATTCATTTCCTCCACGTGGTGGTTTGATTCAAGTTGGGTAGCTCGGACTGGCTAGTGAGAAAGTTGAAGGCAACAGTTACAGTTTTTAAAAATTGTAACCCAAATAGTTTAAAGCAGCAGATGGATGTTTCTGGCTCGATTCTTACAGTAAATAGTACTCCTCATCGCTCACTGTAGGTAAAAAAAACGGTTGAAATCAGCTGCAATATACTGCGTCACCGGACAATGGAAATAGCTATTTGTGATGACTCTAAGCGTTAACACTGTTAATACCAAGTGTACGAAGGAATTCCATTTGCTGAAGATAATGCCCAGTTGTATTATCAGATTACTGAAGCAAAAAAAATGTATGCCACCGGTACACATTTTGATTTCACACATATTTCAAATAACATATGGTGTTGTATTTCTGGCTTCATCTTAATGTCGGTTGCCGTAATTTTCTTTCTTGCTGTACTGCAATCATTCGGAAAGGTAATATCATTGCGGACATCACTAGCAGTTTCAGAGATCGTTCCATTACTCAAAAACTATGGAGGAGGGATTAAGGCGATAGGCTCGCTGTTATTTTCCAATGCGATTTTTGAATATATATACAAAAGATTATGTAAAGAGCTTTTGAAAACAATCCAACTAAAAGATTATTTAGTCTTATTGATTTGTTAGAAATTCATTTCGATTTCTGATTGCATAGGTAGGTAGTTAATTGAACACGCTGATTATTATAAGCACTGCTTTTTGAGTCCATTTAATTTAGTTGGCATTGTCGTAATTCGCCTCTATGGTTTTGAGTTGTTGGACTGATTGAATGAAGGGGTAGGTTCTGCTCAATCTATTTCCAAACGAGAATTCTTTTCTAAATAGTTTTATTCATTTTCTGAAAATTAAGGTACCATCTGATTTTTTCCTGTTTTCGTTGACTTTTACCAGGTTTTAGGTATCTCCATTTAAAATATTTGCTTTTTAGTTCAACTTCACATGTTTTAACACTTATTTTATCTTCCTACAGCAGAATTGGGAGAAGTGAGAAGCGAAGATAGTCGTCAATGAGAGGGAGGAAGGGTCGAAGACAGATCGCGGGAAGCGTACCATTTCTTAAAGGATTGCATACTGCCTTGTTTTCTCTTCAGATTTCACTTGGAGTGAGCAGAATTCATCTGCTGCCTCTGACATGGTTCTAGGCTTTTTTTTGCTTTTGATTTTTTATGTTTAACTTTGTGTCCTCATATACTCAAGTGCTGATGGCACATGGTTTGCCTTACCTTAAATTCCTACAAATTTAAGACAAATACTTCGATATTGTTTCAACATTCCTTCATTTTTTTTTTTTTTTTTTTTGATCATTTGGGCACAATTCCTATTATTACAAAGCATAACAGACTGCAACATTGTTTTCAGTTCTGGCTTTCCGGATACGAAATACATACGAGGTTTTCCCCATTAATTCACGCGTAATTTGGGATGCTTTTGTTTAGATAGCATAGTTTATAAAAGCACCTAGACTGCGCTATGATATGAGATTTGAAATTATTAAGCCGGAAGTTGACAACCATCGGCGTCACTTTCTCTTTTAGGCATAAGAGGTTATACTTGACACCGAAGCATCATGACAGCGCACTGTTAAGCCGTGGTTCCCTTATGGGAGCAAAGTGTAGATTAGGAAAAGTTGTCATGGTGGGGCGAGGTTTGATTGGTTGTTCGCCAGTGGTAGGTTGGTCTTTCATTATGGATGGAGCGGAGCTGGTATAAGATATTATTTGCACATCGAAATAAGGGGGAGGAGTTGTTGGTGACAACATTGGATGGGCAAAGATATCGATTCTTTCTTTTTGATGTTATATAGGTGTACCTGTTTGGTGTAACAGGTAGAGGTGTGGGAGTGGCTTTGAGCAAGTAATTTGTGACCTGGGAAAACTGCATATATTCCACATCCCCAAACATTTACTGTCAACTTTTCTGTAAATAATTCTCATTTCTCTTAAATTTTGTTCGCTTTCATCTGTGTCTGTCTGAATGCATGAGATTTTCGGTCATTTATTCAGGCGTGAATTGCTGAGTGGTTGGCTTGCTGAATAGCTGGCAACTGTGTGATCACTGATCAGTGTAGCAGTGCACTGTCATGTATGGTTTAATTTCATTGGGAACTCTCCTGCTACTTCTTGATAACGCACAATCTGAGGAGGAATGCTTTGCAGTATGTGCCCAAAATCACACAACTGAAAGGGTTATTTGCTTTACAGATATCTTTGTAAAGGCTATTATTTTTATTGTACAACTAGGTATGGCGCTGCATGCGATATCACTCCAAACCTTTATTCCTGTTAAATATTCAACAGATTTCTTCAAAAGCCAAAATTTATATGCGCGACTCATGTCTTACGACAAATGAATATAGTTTCAGTCCCAAACCGCGTGCAAGGAGGGATGCCGTCTGCAAGTAATTTTTGCATTTGCATCCGACAGTGTAATATCAGCGAGGGAAAACTGTTACAACGGTTGTGTCAGGTCATATAATGATGAAGCGGAGAAGCAGGCTTGTTCATTTGGCTGTGATAAACAGCCAGATATGAAGAAGTCCAGAGTGGGTTGCATTTCACCATGTTTTATTGAGACTGGTTCTACTGGTGAAGGAAATCATTTAGAAATGAATAATAAGTTTTTGGGATGAAAAAGAAAATGCTTTGTTTTAGTTCTCAACTTCGTCCTTATCGATGATGGTTCCTTACAAAATCTTTCGTTATATTATCATTATCAGCCGATTTTTTGTTATAAAAAAATTAAAAGGAATGTTTGCAGCCCCATATGGAGCCTAATTCAAGTCTTTTTTGTTGGAATAGATTGTAATTTTAATTCATTCAATGCTTTAGAATATCTTTTACCATCAATTTTTAGCGCCCTTCTTTACAGATTCATGTATCAATAACAAATAAGAGTCCTACATTTCAAGTGGCTCGCGGAGCAATGGAAAAAATGATACGTCGCATAAGCAGTTCATTGCCGTTATTGGGGTATGTTCGTTAAGATTTTATTCAGTATTACTGTCGGATGTTCAAATCTGTAGCTGTCGAAATAGCTCCTCTATGATTAATAAACTGAGTGCGCTAGGCTTCATCAAATTATTGACTGCATTTTTATTTCTGTAATATTCTTTTGCAAACTCTGTTCTGAACCAGTTTCCATAGTTCGGGACAGTCACATCTGGGAAACACTGAGACTTGGTGAATATATGTCTCAAAAATTATGAGCAGAAATTATTTACAGTGGCACAAACCTAGAATACAGCATGCTATTTAACCCTCTCACCAAGTAGTGGTGTCTCTAAAATAAATCTGTTGCTGCGGAACTTGAAGTAGGTGCTTCTGACGAGCTTCACTTAACGTTTTTATGAATAAATATGATATCTCAGCGGTATGTAGTTATGTGGTAACTACAAGTGGTTTGGAAACACATAGTTCAAGATTCTTCCTTTTTTCTGTTCATTAAGTAAAAGGATGTCTATCGGTGTACTAAAAACGAGAAAATGAGATGAAAAAGATGCCTACCAACAAAGAAAATTGGTATGATAGATGTTGTAAAACAAAGACGTGCGTTTACAGAGCACAGATTCGGTATTGTGAGGTTTAGAGCCTTGACTTCGTCCTGTTTGAATGTGTAATAGATCTTGGATATTTGTTATGTTAATGATTAAATGTTTTTATGCAAACTTGTTGACCGATCGAAAAACACTTATTTTTCTCGACAATACATATATAACCGCTGTGCTTATCATTTTTTAAAATTATCTCATAAATTCATGCCCTTTATTTACAACAATTGCGACACTTTTGTGAAGAGATTTATTATCGAGGGAATGTTGGCGTATGTCCTGTATTTCCAAGGAATAACAACAAAATTGCATCGGAATATAGTGATAAATAAAGTCCGAATAACATTTCTAAGCGGTTTGGTTCTTTTTTTATTTTCCTTAGAAATTTTTTTAAGTTTTAGGGAATCGGGTTCAGCATCCTTAGAAGAACGTGATGAGCGATTCTGGGATGATCCATTTGCGCAATTCCATTTTCACATGCAGAATGAAATGGCACGACTCCACCAAATTGCTCAGAATATTCTCAATTTGCAACGCGCACAAACTGTGATGCCAGTTATTGCTAAAAACAGACCAGAGGGGCATGAGGAGAATGCAATTGAAGGTTTCTCCAATTATTCCTGTTGATGTTCTAGATTCAGACACTCCTTTTTAAACGACTTTTTAGGATTCCATGTGGGAAACAATGACAAGAATGGAGAAAAGATTATGGAGGTGAAGCCAGTAGAGTTCAAGAATGAAGAGCAGCGACTTCTGGGATATGGAGGCGAAAATCCAACTGTTGTGGAGATCCCGGTTAGTTCTATGGTTCTTTTTTTACAAATTTTGCTTATCCAAATGTAGGGGCATTTCATTTGAAATCGTCGATTCTTATATTTTATGTTACCTAAAATTTTGATGCAGGAATCGTCGCTTCTTTCTCGATTAGCATCACGAGCTCGTCGTCTTTCGCTACTCAGTCAATGGCTTGTTTGCGTTGCGCTTTTCCTTTGTTTTGTTTCAATGCTTTCTATCTCAGTGGCAATTTTGAAACAGATCAAATCGCAAAAGTATCTGAATCTGAAGGTAAGGGTTCTTTATCACAACAGTAATTTTTGTAATAATTTAAACTGTGGAACGAATTTACCACTTTTGTATTCCAGAAAATCACACGACCAATGCTTAGAATATTCCGAAATCAAAGAGAATATCCATAGAAACTTGAAACTTGTCTCTATGAGACTTCAGGAAATATGTAATTAGGAATCGCTATGATTTGCTGATATCAGGATATCAGGAAATAGCTTGAATGGAACAGTTATCATTTTGCTTTATTATTTGATTTCTGTGTCAGCTTGAATTCTCTGCAACTTAATATGAGTGTAGTGCATGAAAATTGTTACAGAACGTGCATTCGGTTATCCCATCAGCATTCGCAGAATCTCTTGCAGCAAAGAAAATACCACTGGAATCTGCAGTTGTAGTAACCGATTATCCGCTGATTCACGATACTCCCCCTCCGGCTTATGATCAACTTTCAGTTCATAAGGAGAAACATTGAAAATATTGCTGATAATTCTGACCCTAAAGTTTAGCTACTACCTGGCTATCATTTGTTTATTCTTAATATTGTGATCGGTCTTCTCATTTCACGTAAGCTATATGTATAAAAAACCATAAGGCGCTCTCACTCAAGCTGACATTTCGATCCCTGATTGTGATTTTTGCAGTGCTGAAACATGACCAAAATTTCGGACTTCTGTAATGCTACTGCTACTTCTGTTGTTTACTTCCATTTTTGAGGGTATGATTAATCATTAAAATTGTATTCAAGGAAGAGAATGACTTGATGTGCTTGCTTATTGAATTAATATGCTATGCACCTATCGGAAAACGTTATTTGATTATAATTAATCATTGGTCTGGTATCTTCTAAAATATCTTTAGAAACAGCCTATCAGTGTCACGTTTTGGACATTTCGACGTAGTTGTACAGATATTTTCTATATTTTGTTGAAACTTATGTAGATGGGATCCGTGTGTATTTTCCATTTTTTCAATAAAACATTGGAAGATAGTATATATGATTTGGTACGAAGTGGGTTTTTTCTGTTAAATTGGGCTTCCAAGAGCTCGCTTGTACAGATATATATTCCAGAAAATAATAGTATTCAATGTATTCAAATTATAATAGTATTCAATGTCCCTTTTATCCATTTGATGAGACGTATTGGCCACTTATTGTTCCGACTTGCTATTTTTCTCTAATATAAAAAATCCAGTTTTGATAGGAGAAGTGACATATGCGCAGTTTAGGAGAATTCATGTGTTGCAATTTAGCAATCGTGTAGGATGCGCGACGTGCAGGTGAGGGTTCATTAACAGTTGCAGCTAGGATGAAAGAGAGTATTGGCACGAGGCATCTTGAGTTAAAGCTAGGTGATTTTAGTTTTAATTTTAAATTATCCCATTCATTCGTTGTCGACAGGATTAAAAGACTGGGAAGTTCCAGATGTTAAGCTTAAATTTTACATTTTGTAACATAGCTGAAGCGTATTCAGAAACACTCTACTTGGTAACCATATCTGGAAAGGAATGAATATTAAAAGGATCATGTAACGTCAATAAATAGGATTATTATCTAACTAGAGGATCAGTAAATATTTCGTTTTGTGGTTGTATTCTTAAAAAGGAATCCTGCACTGATCTCATTATCATATCTTTATATTTGTTGACTTGAGACATTTACCAATTTACCAGCATAAATGTATTTGTACTCCATTATCATTAATACATACATTGCTACTAATGGAGCTATATTTTTCAGCTGTAGGCAGTATTCATTTCGGTGTATGAAATGTCCAAGTTTTATTTATATTTGGATGGAGATGCTGATGGTGATGATAAGTTAACTATTAACAAAGCCTATGCAAAACGTTATAACAATTGGCGACACTTGGAGGAATTGCAAAAATGTTCGTTTGGAAAAGTTTATGATTGACTAGTGCCAATATGGATGCTGTGAGGAGAAATGGGGTTGGGATTACAAACAAGTTGAAAATACAAGTTAAAAGTATTTAAAATATATTAAAATAAGTTGAAAATATTTAAAATAATTTGACGAATACTTCGGGGTGCATGTATTTAGGGGATTTGAAAGTTTTGTTATTTTATACCATTGTGACATCAGAAATTAGAACAAAACTTAGCTTTTTTTGACAATTTGCAGTGAAAGATAAGTATGGCGATGGTGTGGAAGATGACGATGATACAAACAGTTCATGTAGTGAAGAACCTGCTGTAAGTCTACTGCAATTTTATATTGCAGGCTGCATCTTTTCAGGAGTCTTTTACTAAGCATGGTTTTGACCGTAAAGCTTTTTATTTTTTTCAGCTGTCGATAACTAATTAAAAGACATCATTACATAATGGTTGATTAATTTTTAGTATGGGAAAATTCATGTTCTTGAATTTAAATGTGTTTGGATATTATATTTGAAAATTATAAAATATTGGGAATTACAGGTATGGTCAGCAGAGCACGAGAAAGATTTCCTTCGTACATTGTCTGCTTTGAAAACCCATGATCTAAGATTGTATTCGGGTCAAAAGTTCTTCACCGCTGAAGATAAAGGGTTAATAATTTTTGCGCTACCAAGTCAAGTAATGAAAATTTCCTTGTTATTAAATAAGCCCTTACAATCTTTTTCATTCGTATACCAATAAAATCAGAAGTATCAACACCGATACTTGCACTTATTTCCGCACAATCAAATTTATTTCCCAATTTATACAATATATATTTTTTAGAACAGCGATTGGTAACAAGTTCAAAAAAAAAGACGCTCCGATGTTTCTGAAGGATTACGAAAGAAAGCTTGTTCTTGAAAAAAGGGGGTAAATTATTTTATTCGTTTGAGTGTTTGTGTAGAGAGGGTGAGAGACAGCGATTAATGAAAATTTATTTTTTGCATTAGGTAGTCTCACTTATTACCATACTGCCATTATCAATGATTAATCGCATGCTTCTGCAGAGATATCAGTGAAGATGAGGAAGAAAAGAAGACTTCTAAGCATGGCTATTACGAAGAACAGGAATTAATAAAGCGAGAGTATGTATTTGTTTTATTTTGCGTTTATTGCTGATTGTAGCTCCTCGAAGTGATTTACTTTCCAGTGGTGAGATATTGTTTCTAATTTAAAATATTATAGATTAAAAGCTGTGCTTGCTAAACAAAGTGACGACATGGAGCCACTATTACGACAACGTATTAAGGCAGAAGATGAAGTGGTAGATCATATGATAACACTGTTCTTTTATTATTGTTGAAGAATGTTCATGGAACTTTTTATTTATAGAAAAAGTGTCTCTTAAAGGATCAACATTATATATGTTTACTGGCCAAATAAATAAATCAGTAAGAGTATTTCAGAAAAATGAAGAAGATCAATATTATGAATGGCTGAAGGGACAAAGAGATGAAGATCTGCCTGGTGTGGAAGAACTGGTGGATAATATTTCTGCTGTCGTTCACTGAAAAATATTTTTAACGTTCTTATACTCAAATTTTAGTAGAATATGTTGTTGGTTCTGTTATATGCAATAATAGTATGCATCAATTATTGTCACTTTCAGAAAGGGCTCAAAGAAGCATGGAATGACACAAATTTAGACGAAAGTGAGAAATTTCTACGTGATTATTTGTTGAACAAAAAATACGATGTTGAAGGTGATGATGGGTAAGCTTTTATTTGTATGCCGACAAATTTGCACTGATTCATTTTTACAAATAGAATTGAAATCATTTCATTGAAATTATTTGAAAAATACCAGAGTGTCTTCCCGCACAGATTAAATCCCATTAATAATCATAGTAGTTTTACCTTTATCTTACATGCATTTTCAGTGTTCCGCTGTATGAAGAAATCGTGAACGTCGAGAAGGATGAGGAGGAATTAGAAAGAGAGAACGAGTTTGAGCGGAAGTATAATTTTCGATATGAGGAACCTGATCAAGATTTTGTTAGTTATTGTTTATATTCATAAATATTAAATGCAAGGAATGTTCTGCACTTATAATATGTAAGTTTGGGTCGGACCTGTCTCAGTCTCTTTGTTTAAGTGAAGCTTAATTCCATTTCCAGACAAGTAAAAAATTGGTTATTTGAACATGCGTTCAGCTGAAATGTTCAAAATATTTATGTCAAGTCCACGAGTATTTGCAGATTAAACATTATCCTCGAATAGTAAAGCAGTCTTTGCGGAAAAAAGATGAACGTCGGAAGCAGAAAAGAGATGCATATAAAGAACGCAAAAAATCGGCGAAACAGGCTCGAAAAGATGAAATTAAAGAATTAAAAACTTTAAAAAAAAACAAATTGAGGATAAATTGAAAAAATTGAAGAAATTAGCTGGGGATGAAGACCTTCCACTTAATGTCGATGATTTGGAAGCGGATTTCGATCCTACGGCTTACGACAAGCGTATGAAAGTATGTTCATAGTATTTCTGTTTCACTAATTCTTCTACAACTATGATTTCCATTGCACAGGAAGCTATGCTCATCATCATATTTAATTTATTCTACGACATTTGTGGGAACGATAGTGGAGGATGATTGTCATCTTTTATTGCTTCATTATGCTGAAATTTTAGATTATTTTGGAGGCGGAAGTCATGTTTTCATTTTGTAGGAGATCTTCAGTTCTCAATATTATAAAGAAATTGTGGACGAGAATAAAGAAAAACCCGTTTTTTCTGATGCTTCCGATGTCTCTACCGACGATGTTAGTTTGAGATAAAATTGGGTTTTTTTTTTACTCTCACAGCACCACTTTGAAAATTCCCGTATTGTGAGTGTTGTTCTTTTCGACATTTTCTGCCCTTATCAACTGTTTATCTGGATTATTTTACTCCTTTTTCTGCAGTCAGATTACGACAGTTTCGAAGTGCATAAAGAAAGAAAAGAAAATGCTGACAACATTACTGAGGATTGTAACGATGATGAAGCGTTGGTTCCTGAAAAAAATCAAGTCGGAAAAAGAAGAAGAGAAATTCGCGTTTTATAGAAGTTGTTCTTAAAAAAAACCCTTGTTTAATCCAGGTTGTTTTTGGGAATGATGCTTCTGGTTGTTTGCATATGCGTTTTCTAATCTTGTTTCTTTTTTGTAAGATTTATAGCTTGATCTATGACTAACCAAAACTTTGCATCATTTGCAGAAGAAAAGTCATTTGAAGAATATTTCAACGAATACTATGCACTTGAATATGAGGATATAATTGGTGATGGCTTAATAACTAAATTTAAATATCGCAGTGTGCCGGCTAACGATTTTGGAATAACAGTTGATGAGGTAACGTATTTTACTTCCTCTCGTCGTATTCTTTAACATCGATTAATTATATCTAATTTGTATCGATTAATTATATCTAATTGCTAAACGCGTATTCGTGGTCAAAATTTATGTGTTAAAATGTATGAAAGTAAATCTTAATAATATGCACATAAAAAACATCTGTAATGTGTGGAAAGGAAGTGCGACTAGGTGTTGCTGAAAAAATTCCATTTTTTAAGTTATTAAATGCGGACGATCGACAACTAAACGCTTGGGCATCATTAAAAAAAGCTACAGCTTACCGTTCAGAAGCTGAAGAATTGTATGACATCAAAGCGTACAAAAAGAAAGCACTGAACCTTCTGAAAAAAAAAGAATTTTCAGTACTGATTTCGGAGGGTAAGCATCTATATAATTTATCTTTTGAGAGTTTATCTCATAAAAGAGGTCTAGAGCACCAACGAATTGGAAATTAATAGTGCTGATATTCCATTATTATGAATAATAATTTGGTATTTAAAACTGAAGCTTATTTTAGTTTCTGATCGCTTATAATTGAAGATCCAGGAAGGTATTTCTGTTCGTTATGGAAGTATGAATGAAATGAATCTTGATCATTAAATTGTGAATATTTTGACTTCTTGCTGAATCTAATTCCAGAAAGAACTCTAACAAATTGGCTGACAATGCTAGTGGTATGGAGCACATATGTCAAATGGGTAAAGCAACAGCTAAGAAAAAGAGGACAAAGAAAAGCACTCAAAACTGTCCTGACGATGTGAAGTTGGGAGAAAGAAGTAGCGCTGTGCTACAGGAAGTGGGTTATGAAGTTCTATTTCTTGGCGTTATTAATTCTTAGGGAAAGTCAAGTTATGTTCGTCGAGTCAAAGTTTTCTTTTTCCTTTTTTTTTTCAAAGTTCACCATAACACAACATGTTCTGGCAATACTTTGTGTTAATATTATTCAGCACAAAAATGAACTGTCTAATAGATAGTAATTTTCGGGAAATTCATGCTTTTTTCAAACTAAACTTTCAAAATATTTTACAGTGCTAAAACGGAAGGATTAAGGATAGTTTTTCAGGGAGTCCGGTTGCTGAGTCATTTTAAAAACGCTGGTAGTCGTAAGAATCACAGCAAATATGAACAGTTTAATTCAACAGTTGACATTAATGATGACAGACTTCGTGCTTATGGCATCAATCCAAAGAAGTATAAGAATAAATTGTTCCATCGACAAGAAAACTTATAAGTGAAGGTTTTCAGAAGTGTCAGTAGCAACTTCGATATTAGTTACTTTTTACCTGTTCTTCGGCTTCTGGAAAGCAGAAAATATTGTTTTTGTGTGTTGTAGTTTACAGTCACGTCATATGTGTACAATTTGACATCTTCGTCGGAAATTTTATCTCGTTTGTTTAGATGTAAAGGAAATGAGTTAATGAGAGATCTCTCGATAAATATACGGAATCTCTGGGTTGAATTTGGAAGGATCCCTTCAGCTTATTTAATGGAATCACATCATTCAGAATTACAGAAAAGACGAGCAGAAATTTACCATGTTATTTTGCCACTCAGCAAATTGATAGCTGTGCAAAAACAATGCAACAAATCTGAAGTCATCTTTTTGTACAGCATTACAAATAAACTAGCATAATTTACACTTACAAGTGAAACAACCCAATAACACAAAGATATAACATTCTTCGGAAGAGATTTCAGATGCATTATTGATAAGCATTGAACATACAGCGCTGTCCTATCGGTTCATGTAGAATTCGTATTTATTTGACTTTTCTTTCCATCTCGACGACAGTACGCAAACCCCCAGTAACTAAAAACCATAACTACCATAAAGCGGTGACGGAAGTGTGCTATTACTCATTTCTTAACAATATCGAGATTACCCATAAGTTATATATTGCTTTTTAGCACAACAGGATGTGATGGTAAATAGAATGCGCACTTAACAAACTGGAAATTTACTTTAGTTCAACGCAGAATTAAAAAGAACAGTTTAGAAACATGAAGCTAAGGTAATTTTAGAAGAGATAAAAAGTCAACAGTACGTACTGCACAACATACCGATGACAAAAACGTTACACAAATATCGTCAAAGGAGATAAGGCAATGAGACACGACTGTCAACAATCGAGATCGTTCAGTAGAAAAACTTTCCCTATTTAATCAGAAACTAAAACATTTTAAGCTTTACTAAATTTAAAAGGAGAAAAAAACAATCAAACATGGAATGGAAACACTGAGAAAATTCCTTATCTAAGAAGAATTATTCAATTGGAAAAACCGAAAGAGATTGCATGGTCATTGCAAAAAGTGAGTGAAACTTCTTCGAGATGATAGAAGTACAATTTTCAGCCTCCTGTACAGAATAACTAGATGCACAACTAAAGCTTCGTGCATGATGCATATATTTCAAAATGAAAAGAGATCTTGTCAAATGCACCCCTTTAAACGATACTTCGGTTAGGTTGCCGATAGCAGAAAATAAGACCAGAAATGTGATTATAAAACAAGAAGTGAAAACTATGAAATTTAAGGATCTGAAAGAAAAACTACAGCTTATTTACGCCGCTTTAGGCAATCAAAGCATATCCATTTCAGAAAAAAGTAACGAGATAATTTCAACAACTGACAGCGCAACAATCTTATTAAAAACCTGCTGCTTATTTTAAGCCCAAAACTTATATTTCAGCTTATTGGCAAGTTCTGCAGACATCAATGGGAAATAATCTTCCGAGCCATCATTTGTAAAATGACCTCTTCCATCACTGCTGCTCGATACTGAACCATTATCATCGGTAGCATTTCTGTTAAAACATAATTAAAACCGCTACTGTAACCGAAGCTTCTCAAGCCGCACTGTGCACGTATGTGATTTAAAAATTGAACATTTTTAAAAAATTATTCTTTGAAATCTGATATGTACCAACCTTTTGAACAGCATTTTTTACAATTAGAAGATTGGAACACCCATACGATATTGATCGCTAACAAGTATTAGTTCATATCTTGCTATAATTTTACCACTTATGGACATGTAGGAGATCCTACATAACTTACAGGATACACCAAGTCAAAACTTGAAGGCGACTCAAGTGTAAAATATAAAGTTATGCTTACTGCTCAGTCTTGAAATTATTGCGTCCTCTTTTGGCGAGATCAGCAGCAGCATAAAGATGCGCCGGTAGAGATATCGGTGAAGTGACAATGCCATGGGCATAGCAAAGGGCATTTGTCATACCCTCTAACTCGTCCATTGACATACGAGGTTCGTCATCGATCAAAACCGTCGCACGTACAGGACGTGCAGTACCCTGCAGAGTAAAGACAAATCTCATTCCTCAGTTAATTACTAAAGAGCTAAAGTTCAGTGACCAAGCCAACATGTAAACCTTTAATAAAGCCAATAATTCTCACAGACAGTAACATATTAAGATCACTATTTCTGATAGAAATATTGAAAATTTACAAACCATGACAGATTTGTGAGCAACAAAAATGAATTCCGTTTGAGTTGGATGAACAATATCTACATCTACAATCGTGCCGGGTGGGACATTTTGCTGAGAAGCACTTCCCTGTTGGATATTTTCCGGATAAATACGATAATTTGAATGTGCCTGCATAACAACAATTGTGAGACGAATACGTTCCGTACGACCTTCAGCTGCTGCGACAAAGGCTTCACGAAACTGTTTCCCCTCTTCATTTATGATCTGCAATAAATCTCATTAACAAACAGATATGCGAAAACATAAATATAGAATGTTGGAACACAAGTTTTATCCCCAATCTATAAATTGACTCGTAAAAAAAACAAGAAAAAAACAAACCCATTGCTAAAGGACAATTGCAGAAATTCCATAGTATCCCTTTCTTCGCTTGAATGAATGAAAATCATACCAAATCCCAAAAGTTTGCTCATACGTTATTTCAAAAACTGTAATTATTTTTACAACTCTGACCTTCGCGTACTCTCCCTCCGAAACACCGCTACGAAACACAACGACGTGTTCGGGCAAGCGTTTCGCCTTCGACGTATCCCTGAACAACCTGACTGCTTTCTCGACATGCTCCTTCAAGAAATTGACAATATGAAGGCGCGGTTCTTGCATCCAATATTCACCGTGCATTGTAAATGGTTCGCCACATGAGTAAGTCATCTGAAAAACCATGGAATAATCTATGCCAATTATTATTTTTTTTTGTGTAACGGATAGAAACCGACAAATATCTATGCAATCCAACAGTGACTTGATTAATCAAGTGTAAAGACAATTAAAATTTCCGGAACAAACTTAAAGTAAAAGAGCACAGTCTTACAGCAACGATAGTTGGTTCGCTAGGCGGGATCTGAGCCTGTCGCTCATACAATGATTGGGGTGCTGCATGTGACATGTCGAGGCCGAAAAACATTCTGGAATGTCGTAGCCACTCCTTATCCCTATAAGAAATTGTACACTGTTAAACCATATCTAATATGCTCTTAGTCGAGAATGTCAAATCAAGTTTAGTCAGTTTCAAAACGAAAATTCGTGTTGAAGGAACAAACATGACGTTGCTGGTAAGACGATTTTTGCTCAGGAAAGCAGTAGATGCGGTGAGAGCATGAGTTATACCACCAAGCTTCAAGTTCATTTTCATGACCAAGTTGTCCAGTGTCATCTCAGCACCACGGTTGCTGATTGCTTTGAAGAGTGTATTAGAACGAACATGCTGCGTTACAACACCGCATTTGATTTCGGTCAGTTTCATTGTATCTAAAAATTTGATAATGAACTGACAAAACTAGAAACTAGCACAGTTCCACTATTAACCTTATTCCTGATATGTTACAGCGCCGGAAACAATAAAATTGCAACTTTTTTGACAGTCAGTAAGCTGGAATGCCAGAAAGAAAAGAAATTAATTTACCATGCACAGGGTCATATCTGTCTCGTGTGATGAACAAAATATACTCAACTCCATTCCTACGCATAAATTCAATCTTCTCAATGAGGAAATTCATGTCGGTGCGGTCATACTCTTCTGAACGTGATGGATTAGGCATTTGTATACCATGGTCACGAGAACGATTGACAAATGCAGCAATGAAGCGACTGGAATATCAAAGATTTGGATTTTCTTTAAAAAAAAAAAAAAGAAAAAAAAACTTGTCTTTAAAAACACCGAGAAACCTAAAAAGCTTAAGCTACAAAAATAATCCGCTTTTCTCAATGAATTTAAAATCCCAGAGCAATCCTTTTCATTAAGCTTTCCTAAATTATTTACTGCCCTCAATTAAAAAAATCACGTTAAAAAACTGAAGACTAACTCTGCGGATTGTTGGTCTACAGCATTGTGGAACATAAAAACAACCCAACGACGAGGCGCAGTAGCAGGTTTGAAAAAAATTTTGTTCTGCATGCCACGAGGGACTGAAAGACGCCAATCAAGATCACCATTTGGACTTGGTTCAACTTTGCCATTTCTATAAACAATTGCTGGAGGGAAATGCATAACAGCATCGCCTACGCGCGGAGTACTAATGATATGGATCTGCAAGGACAAGCTTAAACAGTAATAAAAAACTATTAAGCCTGTAAATTTATTATGCAAAATCATCGGCTACTGATCTAAATGGAAAACGAAGGTGATATCTGCACTTAGATATCCGCCAATATATATGTTTCTCAATAATAAAATTTAAAATTGTGAGAGAAAATAAAAATAACAACACTAACTTTCCTTCTCTAAATAATGAATCAAACCTGTAAGCTACGGAGATACGGATTTTCATCAACAATTTGCGCTTGACAACGTCGACGTTCATTTTCATTTTTTAAGTTCATGGGTAGAAGGCGACAATTTTGGATGAGGTCGTCAACCTGGAAATAATCAAAATGTGACGACGTAAAAAGTGATTGATTAGCTTACCAGCATTATACAAAAAATGTCTATATTTCGAGATTTCAACACAATGCATTTTAAAAAGTCTAACTATGGACCACGCAAAAAATCCAACGCTATGATATTCCACAAAGATCAACAGTAAAAACAAATAATGTTAAATTCTTAGTATATAAAAAAACGTCCGGTCGAAAAGGATCATCATCTTGAATACTTCATAAAAGTCACCTAAAAGTCAGATCTCAGAATAAGAGAGGTAATTAGAACAAGGTATAAGATAGTTTACAATAAAAGCATCTACGCCTGTATCTGAAAGTTAAAAAGTGAAACAGGTCTACAAAGTATGTCCCTACATCAATTTAAAAAGAAGTACCCACTAATTCCGGCGTCTGTTTTTTGGTGTCAACACGCTGTCCACCAACAACTTCGAGGAACTCCATTGGATGAAAACTGTTGTGCGGACGTTTGTCTTTGCCACCGACACGTCGTTCAATTATACACGGCAGACCTGGATAGCGCAATCGCCGCTGGTACTTATACAACATGTAGTTGGCTACAGTCATATCCTGATTGCTGACTGGGATCACTAATCTAAAATGTGTAAAAAGAGGTTATAAACAACAGGAGGTTATAAACAACAGGCCTTCAGAATCTATAAACACATATTCTTATTAATTCGTGAAAAGTATATCCCCCACATCAATTTAAAAAAAAAAAACAGAATTTCAGGAATTTTTTCTGAAATTCTGTAAGGTTTTTCAGTGTTCGAAAATCTTGCAGAATTCCAGAAATTAATGAAACAGTTACTTCAAGAAGACTCGGCCTTCATTTTAGAGCTCTGCAACCAAAAATACCAAGTAACTGTCAATCGAATAAAGACCAAAGCAAAGACAAAATGAATCTTAATAAATTAAACAAAATAACGACAACATGATATACTTGTCTGCAGTTTCAGCTGTCATTCCAAAAACACAAAAAAGTCGTTGAGTTTCCAAATGTGTTGTACGCACGACAAGATCTAAAATTGTAACTGTTTGCAAATCCAAGTCTTGATAACAGAACTTAATATCCAGAGAAAAAAAAGAAACTAAACATGCCATTAAAAATACCCTTCAATTGCCGTGCAACTCGAGCCCTCAACCTAGCATCTTCCATAAGCATTTTCGGATGTGCTCGATTGCACAACGTACCAACGAGTTCTACCAAGGGTTGCTTTTTGAAAAACGCTGCTTTTTTTGCTAAAAAATTTAAAGGATACAAGAAGTAACAAAAATTTATTTAGTATTCGTTCGTGCTATAAAACTATAAAACTGTTTGAGCTCAAATAGAGTAGAAAAAAAATTCCTTTCACTTGACAAAATTTTACCGTCAATTTGCACGATAGGCACCGCTTGCTCCCACGAGCTACCAACAAAGCGTACGTTCTTTTCCAAGCCTGCGGTCAAAACTTTGCCACCATTAACTCCAATATCATGTTCACTAGGACGATCATATGCCTTATTGCGAAAAATCAAATGACTCTGTCTGAAAGCATGAAGTTTTTAAAGGAAAGAAAGGAAACCTTTGTAATATTTTTTATTTGGAATTAACTTTGCACAGACTGAGAGACTTTAAAGAAATAAGGAGAGAAATCAACATACTCATTAAACATCATTTGTGAAGTAGCTATTTCCAAAAATTGCTGAAGTGATCGCTCTCGAGCATATAAATTTGCAGAAATGGCTGTAGTCTGATGCAAGCTGATTTCTTCACATGGTAACAAACGGGCAACCAGCCCAGTAATTCGTTTACTTAAGAAGTTTCTTGTTTCCGGGAACAACGATTCCTTTGAAATAAAACTATTTCAACTGCAAAAATCTCTTCGCGCCGGCATTTAAAAATGAAAGAACATTACACCAAAGCAGGAGAAAAATCCGTTTAACTGAGTACAAATGAACGAAAGAAGTGGAAGATTTGTGGACGCCGATTGCACAGAACTTTCGAAATAAATTAAATCAGGAAAAATTTCTCAAACAGTCAGATTGTTAAGATCTAACGATGCACCAATGCTCGGTATCTATTTTTACAGCTTTTGGAATAAGTATAAGATTACAAAGTCAGGGAATATCAGTGTTAAAAGTAATTCCAAAAAAACTTGCTTTGATTAGAAAGCATGCAGAAAACTAACAGTTACATGGCAAAAAAAAAACATACGACGCTTATCTTGAATATCTTTCCGCCTTCGGAACGGTCAAAAAGTTTATTAACAGAATAGAAATTGACTCCGCAGTCATAAAAATACTTTCTCAAATCGCTACCGAAGAAATCTTCATGGTCTTTTAGCATCTGCTGATAAATAGACCAAAGAACTCTGTGGCGAAGAGCAATAGCTACACTGAAATAAAGTGAATAAGATATTACTGAATGGATGAAAAACGATAAGCGTGAGTTGAAATTAAAATTAAACAATGAGTATGAACACTGATAAACAAAAAGCGTACTCATTTTTTGGACCACGGTGAAGTTCCTTTTCTTTTTCATCACTTCTTATGCCACAGATTTTCAGCTCAAACTTATATACTTTTTCAATTGCTTTCGACATGTCCAATTCGTAACCGTTGATGCAAACGCGAAATCTGTTAGCATGACTATAGCGATATGACTGATGAGGTTTCGCTAAAATGTATTGCACGTTTCTAACAACCGCCATATTAATCAAATGAAGTCATACATAAATACTTAAAGATTGAAAACAGATATTCAAAAATAAAGTAAGAGAAAAATGATTTCTCCGACCCATCGAACAACCATAAAAACAGTTAAGTTATTTGTCACTAAAAAGAGAAGAATATGCTCCTTGATGATGAGAAACAACTACTTCTGTAATTGGAACTTCCAATAAATAAGTGATGGAACCACATGCCTGGCATAGTAACATCGGCCATTTCTCCCATCATATTTCTGTTCCCATTAATCTCAGTTACATCCATTTTCTGCAAGAACGAATCAAATGAATATACCAAACCACGGAGTATCCTATAAATTTCATGTCACACTCCATCTTATCTTTAATAACTTCAACCTGAGCATATTTTATGATAGACCTTCAATGTGATTCCATTCAAACTCTTCACAAAGTTAATTAAAAAAGTGCAAAACAAACAATAGTGACTTGCAATTAATCCCATTAAATGAGATAGTTAACTCCGTTAAGTGCTACAGAAAGACAATTAAAGAATATAAGGAAAAAGTACAACAGCAACGACAGTCATGAATCGACCGTCTAAAAGCAAGCAAAAGGCCTAGGGTAAATTCTAAGCTAAATCAGTAATAATATTAAAGTTCCATAAGTATCCATTAACCATGATGAGATTATGCAGAGAGGTCTAGGCAAATACCCCAACCTAACAACGATATACACACCCAACCATCCACCATCTGTGCAGCAACAATGTATAAAGCGCATTGAATGCGCAACCACTTCCTATGATGACGTGCATTCTGAAAAAAGATGTACGGTCTCTTCTGTGTAGTCTCTTCTGAGCACTCCTACATAAAGTCATCCTATATATTTGCACATAATCATTGTAGGTAAACAAGGGAAAGGAAAACTCTGACAAGGAAGAGCTATCGCTTAAGTTCGGGATGATCGAAATATTTTTATAATATAGAAATATGTCGAAATAAAGTATTTTTGTATCACAGAAATATCTGGTTTTAATATTAAAGTTATTTTATTCAGAATACTTCTCAATGACTCATCATACAAAGATTAAAATAAAGTAAATGTTTCGGTACCTAAGGTAATCATTTATCTAACTTTCCGGTCTGATAACTATATTCAATGATTAAAATACTGCAAACTAGCCCCCTTTGTCCTTCTTTAGCACCGTTACACCAATCGTTCGTTTTTTGAATCGATTAACAACCGCTGAATCTCTTATGCTAACCAGTTGTTTAAGCTAATTGACTGATGCATTGCTCTTTGTTGTAAACGTCTTCCAGCTTGATAACCAAGCTTATATTCAATATTGTAAACAAACTCCCACTATACAAAAGGAGAACTCTAATTGAAATGTCGTAAACAGACTCCCACGACATAAAGGGACTTTTATATAAGGGATCACTCAATTAACGATCCGTTTCGACTCGGTTCACTCAGTGCTCAATCAAATCTTTGCTAACTTGCAACCGTAAGCAGAGTCCCACCAAATTTTCCCTGCGGGCGATAACAAAGAACAATTCAATGATCAGCTGTACCCGTGATATTTTCTGATAATTGTCTTATGACTTATAGAAAGAATAAATCCTCCGTCATTCAGTGAAATCTTCATCATAACTATTTGAATGTGCCAACCGTCAAAAGACTCCCACGACAATCGTTTCGATGCTACGAGTCCAGGATGTCTATCAGGAATCAAAGGTTCGCAACCGACAAATGAAAAATATTGTCGTAGAAGGTGATTGACACAGATGGATAGTTGCGATAATGCTTTTATTGATTGGTGGAAGATTTATTTTTCGTATGAGGGGGAAATACTAAGAATATCACAGACGGAGTCGATCGGTAGGTTGTTCTTTGTTGTCGCTCATAAGGAAAATTTGGCAGAAATTTGACTGAATAATTTAGTGAGAATTTGATAAGGTATAGATGGCAGTACTGAGTTGAACCAAATTGAGCACTACTAATCGAGTTAATTCAGTGAATGGCTGTCTTGTGAATGATACTAACTTTTTTATAGTGGGAGTTATTTTACAACATTTTAACCATTAAGCTTGGTTATTAAACTGGAATATCTTTACAACATTCCAAACATTGCACATAGGTTTGGTTATCGTATTAGCAAGATCTTTACAATAAGACCGATGTTTCGAATGCTATGTAAATTAGTGGATATACATTGTTGATAACTTTCAAATAATTCGGTTAATTTGCAGAAATTTCAGCACTGTGGAAAAATGAAATTGCTGTAGCTGTTGCAATTTGTTAAATCTAGGAAAGGATATATACAAACAAGTTTACATTCCTCTCTCTGTCTTTCTAACACCCCGTCTACTTAACGCTTATGAAATAAGAGAACTTTTTGTGGCGAAAGATATTCTCTTTGAATTAATTGTAAGCGCAGTCGAATGATGATTGATGGAAAACTAATTCTTTTTAGGTGTTATAAAATTGTTAAGCGAATATTATAGGTAGAAATTTTGAGAGATTGTTCTTTGCTTGTCAGGAAAATTGTTTTGTTTGTTTGAAATCGTAGTCCTGAATCAATAGCACAATTTACTGAGAGATAATGACAGTTTTGCGAGCAGTTTGGGAGAGCCGATAGGTATCTAGATGGATAGATATATCTTTACTCATTGATTCTTATATAGTGAGAGGTGTTTACAGTATTTGAGACATGCCATCAAGTCGCAAAATGTTCAAAAACAATATGCAAGATCTTTGATGCACAAATGTTTACATTATCAAGAATCCTTAAAATCACAAGATGTTTGGAAGAATTAACATGTTCCCAACATAAAGTTTAAATAGATCTGCCTGTATGGTTAAACGAGTCAAGCAAAGAACGAGTCAAACATTTATAACTCAAATTATGAAAATACTATACTTCCATTTGAGTAATAATTCAGCTATCTAACAATTTTACAATGTGAACAACCAACCAGAAATTCCCTTTTTGTGGTTTTATTTAATTCGCTTGAGATATTTCTGTAACACAAAAATGCTTTTAAAATTTGATGTATTTTTATAATATAAAAATATTTCATGCTTTCACGGCAGTTTTTGCTTCTCAAAATCTGGAAACTGGGAGATTCATATGAACATATCAATCAAATATTCTTTTACCATGTCACATATTTGTGATTCCGTGAATTATTCAAATTTTATTGTACCGATTCAAAAAATAATTACCAGGCTTCAGTGAGTTTCATCTTGAGCTATCGCTGCGCTGAAAATAAATTTTGGAGCAAAACACTGATGCAGAATTATCTCCCTGAAACCGTTGAACTGTTCCAGAACTATCGTCTTTTTCTGTGGGCCAGTGCCAGCTTAATTAGGATAACGAGAAAGGTTGAGATGTTGATTACCGAATATTTTCTTATACCTCACATGTAATATTCTATTAAAAGCCTAGCAAATTGTCAGTGCGACACTGCGTAGTAGTTTGACACTTCATGGTACGTTTAACGTTTAACCATTCATACTGTTGGCTTCAACTATTATCGACGTTTTCTTTCTGATCGTAACAATGATTGAGAATTATTTATTTCTGTTCTATTTCTTCTTGTCGATTTCTCTAGTTTTCTTTGTTTCTCACACTTCAATAATAAAACCTCAAAATTGGGTGATTAAGCCTTTATTCCGACAAGCTGATTAATGTAGCAATGAACTCAGCAATATCAACAAAAAAAAAAGAAAAATTCAATACCAACACATTTCTGAAATGATTTTCTTGCTCAGGACTCCTCGAATGAAAGGACCTTGTACGCTTCTAAAATTACAAGAATTACCGCCTTTGTTAGTGCACATGTAAAACAATGAGCACATATGTGTTGAAGTTCCACTACATATCGCACATACACCACACCGATATCAATTTTCAACAAAGGGAATTTACTAATCCTTTGTTGCTACTCGCAATTTAATTGAAAACTATCGACAACTAATTATTCATGTCCCGAAATAGAGTAAACCTCGCCTATTAATCTTATATACTGTTTCCAAACTTAAGAAAGTGAGCGACTTCAATCCAGCTCCAGATTTTCATAACTTACTGGAAAATCATGGAGTCGCGGAATATTTCCTGCATTACAGAATAATTCTTAATTAGAACTCTTACTTTCTATAAGGACTGACTTCAGGAGCATGCTTTCGCGAACCTCGAAGAATGAATCAGTGATAAGATGACTAACAAAAAGGAATTCTTTACATGTCACCGGTGATACTGTAAGACCATCCATCATAACACATTCTACAACAGCTATTATCTACGTACTCGGACTTCCTGTCACACAGTTTACCGATTTCTGCATTTACACTAGAGCTACTGACAGTGTTATTAAATTATTGGCCTTTAATAATGACATCTATCCGAGGCAAACTCGCTGTAGCACTTGCTCTTAATTGCGCATTAGCTCATCCTTAATCCCGCATTTCACTTCTGTTATACTGCAATGATTGCTGATTAGTAACTATATGGAGTAGTAACGCTATTATGAAACGAACTACAGCCCAATGCATGTGTAATGGTATTTCATACTTCAGGCACATAGATTATTGGTCGGTAGATGTATGTCTTCCGCTCTTTTTAGATTAGCTGCGATTGGTTGAGACATGGCAAATACTGCTCAGACGACATTCATTCCTGCAAATAACTTGGAAGGCAATTCCATCACTTCTGCTGATGTAACAAAAGGTCAGAATTCTCGAACAGCCAAATAAAAACACCTGTGACCACTCTAGTTTTACTAAATCCAGCTCTGATATGCATTTCGGATTTAACAAGGTGCAAACTAAGCATATTTACGAAAGAACAATAGTTTAATAGTCCTAACAAAATGTAATTAGTCATAAACCTTATGTAGAAGATAAAATACATGCATGAAGCACATGTGTAATTAAATGATACAAGCAAGCATATGACATTAAGCATTTATAGATGTGAATGTAGTAACTTCAACAAATCTCTGTAAAAAAGTTGAGACCCTTTGATTTACAAGTAATTTATTCATTTCCAACATAAAGAGTTGAGTAATACAAAAAGCACAGAAAAATGGATAATTTAGATTTCTAGTGATTTCATAACTGTCTCACATTTCGGCCTGGAAACTTCACCATCTTAACTTTTCCCGTAAAATAGCAATTCCAAATGGCCTTAAACTGCTGCAAAATGCAAAGTATCATCAACCAAGATATTCTACAAAAAAATTACTACTATCAAAAAAGCTTACAAGTGATATACTGTGATCCAACTTCTTAAAACAACACCAACCAGAACATGTTTGTCAGCTAGTAATCGAACTGGAATTATTAAAGAGATGTCGAGGAGTGTTGAAAGCGGCTTTCAAGGGGAGTGAAGATGACGATAACATTTTACCGGACAATTTTCTTAAAGCATTTAAACAGCTTGATTTCTCAATGAACGGCCGAGATGAGGTATCTGGAAAATACTCATATGTTAAAAGACATCAGCAAGACCTTAGGAAGTAGAAAAAAAGCGTACTTAGGTTATAGTGATAAAGTGGAAGCAACTTAAGCTTTTAAAAACAAGCAATCTAACGTGCTCTATTAACAAAAATCCGATTGAGCTCCAAGATTTCAAGATAAGGAAAGAAGCTTTGCAGAAAAGCAAACAAATATCCTATTTCAAGGGATTTTCATTCCAAGTACCAGTAAATCTTCCTCAAATGTTTAGAAACACGAAATGTATATACCAAAGTAATAGATATGAGCAATGAGAATGCCACATTTCACAAGAAACGAATTTTGCCTATTAGTTCGCATCAAATGATTCAGCACATCGGCACTGCACGATAACAGTCCAAGAACCTGCAAAAGCTAGCGGTGACACAACAGCATATAATTCACCACATCATTTTAGAATCCACTCTAGTTTGCAATTTGTATTATTCCATTGAAATGCTTTTCAACTGAGTTCATTTTAATTTAGTTGAAATGGTTCATCTACTTAGTACTCACGGAGTCTAATCATCTCTTAACTTTTTAATATAAAATATTTATGAATGGTATTGAATGTTTACCTGGATTGAGATTCTTTTCCAGTGAGAATTCGAACATAACGCAATACAAAGATACACTACGTTTGTGATATAATTCATGTAGAGTGACGAGACGCTACGAGTCCTACAATTCCATATCATTAATTGCTTACAACACATTTTTCAATAAAAAATAGTTCAAATTTATCTAAGATACGAATTTCATGGATAGGCATATCTGAAAACAGAATACAAGTTAGAATACTGAAATAACACATTTATAAGCTAATAACTACATGGAAAAATTACTTTAGGTCAAAACTGGACGCAAGAAACAAATCTTTCGGTGGATTTGACCAAAGAGGGATGCTTGCTAACACTTGCAAAGCATTAATATCTTGTAAACCATTCCAACCACAACTTGTAAGCGCGAGCCGAATAAACAAAGTCTATAAATCTATTCGATTATCATAACTGATCAACAATTTAACAAGTTTAAAAAGTTCATAAAGGAATGTCGGGAAAAATCGAAATACTTTAATGACATGAAATATATTGAAATAATCAAATACTTTGTATAATTAGAAATATCTCGGATTAACTGATGTAAATTCACAATAATATATGCTATATAAAAATTATTTTAAGTCAGAATATTTCTCAGAAAAATGATTCGTTCCACAAAAAATATAATTTTTGATCCTTAAGCAACAAATCATTTGTCCAAATCTTCCAATAATACGACCGAACTATTTCGAATGTTTTAAATGTTAAGATCTACTTTATAAAGAGATCATCGAGAAAAGTAGTCAATATTCAAAACAGTCAAACAACAGTCTTCCGTGCTCCTCCATACGACAGTGTTATCATCTATACCACATGAAATCCCTACTAAACCACAAGCTCAGTCAAATTATTGACAAATTTCCCTATGAGAATAGAAAAACAACTATCACTGAGCTGTTTTTTTTTTTTAACTCTTAAATAATATTCTTCAATAACTGTTTTACAGCGCCCAGAAAAAAAAAAAAAAAAAAACTCCCCGTCTATCAGTAAACCTTTATCATACTATTCGTCTGTGCCAACAATTGAATAGAGAAGTTTTTACAACTAACGATTAGTGTGTTAAAAAACTCTTGAATCTTTTTTTGCTCTGTGTTCTGAAAAATTTGTTTATGTGGAGAAAAAAATACTGACAATGCTGAACCTACCAATATAATATTGAAGTGTTCCAAAGAACGAATATCATTAATCTCGGATCCACTTAAATTAATATCAGCCACTGACTCCAAAACATATCGCAACACACCAGTACGAAGGAATTCAAGTGCTAGCGACTGAGATCCCATCGCGTCTTCACGCAGTATTTGTGTGAGACAGAATAATGCCACAAACTAAAATTTCATAAACTGTTTTGAATATTTACGAAAACGAAAGAATGAAAGTTTATCTAACTGCTAGCTTTTATCAAACAAGTAACGATAGCTATTCCTTCTTCCAAACATTATTCCCGTTCCATAAATGAAATCTTTTCAAAAAACCAATTGAAGGGTGTTTATGACAGACAGAAAAGTGTAAAACTGTGTAAATCTTAGTTCCCAGTGGGTGGTAAAATTTCAAGCGCCATAAAAATTTATATATTGGTAATGTCAATGCTACTTGTATTGTTCCCTGCTTCTACATTGTACCTTAAATATAATTAGAGAAAACAATAATTCTCACTCCCTTCTTCATAGACAAAAAAACAATCACATGGATGATAAGGCTGTAAATATATGCAGAACATAAGAGAAGAAATGGTTTGATCCAAATGGAATTTGAAATCCAGAAACACGAAGTAACAGGGATCCCTACATTACTTTTTGTAAACAAATATTCTAATCATTCTTATGCTTAGAAGCTAAAAAGAGTTAAAGCTCAAAAATGAATGACAGTAATAACAAATAGCATAAGATGAAAAAATGAAAAATGAAAAAGGCATTCTCAAGAGAGATCTTATATTCACCACTGCATTAACTTTTTTGAATTCCTTCTTTTAAGCTTTAGGAGACAAGGAAAAAAGCATAGAAATAAGGATGCAAAAAAAAAAGTTAATGTGAAGAGAAAGACGGATAATGTTGCAAAAAGGAAAATCCCTGGGCTTGGCAATCCAAAGCCTCTCAGTCATCCGATGTTCACAGCTAAATATAGACGAGCATAATTTTTCCATGTTATTCTGGAAAAACCTTAACTCTCTTACAATCGATGGTGCTCTAACATATTTTCAAGCGTATTCTCACTCGTTTTCTGATCATTTAAATTTTTTTTTTTTTTTTTTAAGCAGACATACAACGATTGCATTCTCATTGCAATAATATAGTGAATTTACACTGTAGAATATCCAGAAGCGATCCAGTTAATTTACAGCTAAAAGAGACGAGGCGAAATATTCACCTCGTCTTCGTAACAGACTTCTTCACTTCAACTTAGTGATCAATTCCAGGAAAATAAATTCTGAAAATCAAATGCACTTTATAAAACAAATATGTTAAAACACAGTAATCACCTACATGCAAGTAAATAGGGTGTAATTATCAGGCTACTGGTGTTTATCCTATTTTTAAAAAAATGTGTTGCTTATGTAATGCTTGATAAATATATATTCTCTTTGGATTTCTACAAAGGATATGTGCGTATCTAATGAAACAGCAATACAAGTCGCCAAGGCATCCAAACAATTTTATCATAAATTTGGTATTGGACACGTCGTACTCCTTATCAGCTACATCATTTTCCTGTTATTTGCTGCTGGAATATTCATGATTCTCGAAACTGCCAATGTTAATCGACAAAGAAAGCACTGGCTGGAAACACTTGCAGAACATAGAAAAAGGTATGATTTGTCCAACAAATTGGTAGTATCAGTAGCTGATTAAGTTGTCAGAGTAAAGCAAACTGAATAATGAAATGAAAACAATGAAGCTTGTAGGAAAACAAAACACACGAAAAGGAGAACTGAAGCTGTTATTTTATTGACTAAGAGTTTGTACACAGTTGTGAAGAAATGAAAGAGAAATTCAAGAAATAAAAAATCATTTATTTCAATCCAGTATACTTATGTTAGTTATGCAAGTTCCGTCCTCCTCACATTTGCTTACCATAGTTTAAAAAATTTGATGTAAATTGGATAAAACTATTCCTAGTCTGAACTAGGGGTATATTCCTGGGATATATCCGGTATATTCTTGAGATAACATCAAGAATTAACTTATAAAAAATCTTGCCTAAAAAGGGATTTCTTGAAAAACTTAAAATTATTGTTTTTAAAAAAAAGACTTATTAGAGTTGCTCACATTCTAGCTTTGTTATTCACGACATGGTACCACAGATTTTCAATAACACGAAGCTGCTGATATTCATACATCATGATAAATCACGACACCTGATAAAAACGCTCAATGAGGTGCTAAAGAAATACGAAGACACGCTCAAAATATGTTCGCCATTACCCAATCTTCCATGCAACTACATTAATTCTCTTATCTTTGTAAGTTTTCGAAATCAATTTCCATTGCTTCTACTCCTCACTTTTACAGAACAGATTCCCACTAAATGCTAGAATAAAAATCATATCATGATAACAACAGTCAATGCAGTATTCATCTGAAGATATTTTACTCAAATTAAAAAGCAAATCCATGAAAATACGAATTACAGGTGTGCTCCACAGTAACGACAATTGGTCATGCCCACATTTATCCGACTACCGAAAGTGGTCGGTATTTCTCAATGGTATGTGCGACCATTGGTATACCATTCACACTCATGGTTATCAAAGACCTTTCTTATCTTATCGCAATTTTGTTCCGTTATCCATGTGCTTGTTTCGGTAAGTAACAATACCTATGGCATGAGTTTGATGAATTTAGAGGTAGCAGTAATTGAGACTTGACTACATTTCGATAACATTTCATCCTCGTATATTCTAAAAGTATCTTACAAGGTGAAAATAGAAATATTCGACGAAAAAAAAAATATTCCATCAAAAAAGCAAATACAAGTAAAGCCCGAAACCTAACATTAAATGGTAGAGAAAACTTTAACAGTTTACTTCTGGCATATATTTCGCTACTGCACACTGCAACCGGTCGATGAGAATGAACTTATTCAACGGATACATGGTGCAAACGCAGCGCGTCATTCTGATTACAGGTACTCTTGCATATATACCACAACAGATTGTGGTCTCTTAACTTCTATTCCGGGATAGATTTTGTTTTTGTACATAGAAATGCATTGTTTGGCATTGTGGAACTTCAAATTCAATAAGGGATTTGCATTACTTCGTTGCTGTTGCGTTACACAAATTCCAAACGACCTGCCATGCGATGGCGATGGATGGTGGTAGTTTAAAAATTATTTAGCGCCTAAAAGATGAGTTGATTGCGCTACAGCAGAGTAAAAGAAAACGATCAGCACTGGTTTTCATACGGTTTCCAAATATTTCAAAATAATTCTCGTTGCTTTAAGAATAAAATGACGAATAAGGTATGGAGATGCGAGGGAAGTATGAGTTTAGTTCTCGGATGCAACACATGAGTAAGAGTTGAACTGTCAAATACAACCAAGCTTATTTAACGAATACGCGGTGTGAAGACAGAACGTCTAAAAACATTATTCTGATTGGAGGTGCTAATAAGAAGCATTTGGTGATAAGAACTGCGCGGGAAGGGAAGCGTCCTTATGACGTTATATATGTGATAATGCACTTTTTTTGTTAGAGAAATCAATTGATTGCTCCCAAGAATAAAGATGTATGAGATTATTTTTAGTTTAGGTAAAAATGCTATCCAAACCAAAAGGCTAGAATAAGATTGAACCAATTATTATCATCGGTCATCAAGATTCTATATTACTAAATAAGAATCATTAGATAATTAAAATCAAATTAAAACTGAAATGTCTAACAGCAAATTCATTTCATTTACCGAAAAAAGATTATTTAAAATGCAGACTGCGGCTGATAGATCATTTGCTGAACATACCGATAATGATCATCGTAATGGCAGTAATTGGCTGGATAACTATTGGATGCATGATAGTCCATTTTTACCTGCCACAGGCACAATCTTCGCTTATTTTATATTTTATATTCAATTCGCTAGCCACAACTGGCATTGGAGACATGAAGTTGGGCGGTAAAGTTTTCTTTCGTAAGTGAGCTTGGAATTTCCAAAAATTATTTAAATACCCCAGAAACTGCTGAAATATTCTAGTAAAACTAAACGTTTGTTATAAACTGGAATATATGCGACAAAAGATGTCTTTAATAAAAAAAAATCTTTTTAGAAAAAAACGTCTAGTATTCCGTCCGTCAGGAAAGAGTAGGATTCTATGCGTTCCAAGAACAAACCAAAGTGAAGACAGTTGCGCTTTCCCACATGCTAAGATTTTCGGAAGAAAATTAACGTTCTTCATTACTGAGTATACAGTGAAAAAAAAAGCTTTGTTAGAGGAAACTGAAGAGAAGTTGGGAATTAATCATCAATAATAAATCTACCAATTTTTCAGAAAACATTTCCTTATTCATTATATTTTTCGGTTACTTGCTTGTTGGCTTATCGCTTGTTTCACTCTTCATCAATCTTCTTCATACGAAACTCAGGCAAACTAAACCAATTCAACTGCATTAAAATTATTTAATTGTCATTGTTTTTCATTCTCAGCAAGGAGAAGGATATCTATACCATTAAACTATATTAGTACTGCAAATAAACCGATGTAATTAAGATTATTCAAAACGATTTTATAGCCGTGCTTACTGGTTACCGAGTCGAATGTACATGCCGATTACAACGAAAGTATCAGCCCGAATAACTTATGAGACTGAAAGTTTTGATAGTTCAAACAATTTAGACTTCATATCAGACTGCCCATTAAATCACTACGTTACTTTGGGAGTCTTGCAATCTGAGGTAATCAGTTAAATTTTCAGTTTTTATTTTATTCGATTTCAGTCATTAATCTTCATTCACTTCTGCTCTAGAAAAATGTTTCTTCATTCCTTTGAATGGCACTATAACTACTCAAGGATAAATGCCCGCTACTAAGGGTCATGCAGAAGGAAAATGCATATATCGATGTGGACACACAAACAGAAAGCGGTAACAAAGAATATGTCCCTAAATGTATTCGAACACAGAGTCCAGAAGCACTACTTATTGATAAGCCTATCACTTCACGGGATGACGTCAATGATTTAATTGTTGAAACGTATGGTGGTCGACCAGCAAGGCTTATTTCCTCTGGTGCAAAGTTCCATTAACTCCAAATCATGATCACAAAATCCTAATCTATGTTTAAGAAGTCGAGGAAATAAATGTCTTATAAAACAAAAGAAAAAAGAGAACGAACAAAATGAGAAAACTTAGGAAAAAAAATCTCCTAACCGCTCAAAAAAATGACGAAGATATTATCCTCCTTACAATATCTTGAAATTAACGTGATCCCTGCAGCTCCACCCGTGTGAATGAAATAATTGAAGACGTTAGTTATATAATGATTTCAGTTGTAACTTACTTTAAGTTCTGGTGGTGAGTCACAAATATCTTTGGACAGCAGTGAAATTAGTTCATGTCCATATTTTGTGAATGCAATTCGCAAACTATCATGTTGCACAATCTTTAAGGCTGTTAAACCAGATAGAAAATCATCATCAGAATGAAAAACATCCTGATGGTCTTCTTTTTCCGAAACAATTGTTTCAGTTGAACAGTTTAAAATGAGTGAAATGCAAGCATATAAATCTAACTTCGTCTGTAACGATCGTTTACCTGGAAAACTAAGATTTGGAATTACAGAGATAGCTACAAAGCTATACATTTTCCATAACAAAAAAAAAAAACCCATATACGAGCAAAGCACAAAGCATGAATAAACATACCTGGCTGTATCAGAAACCGGATCAAAGCATCGGCAACATCAGTAACAGCGCTTCTAAACGCATCAGTATCCTCTTTCAAACTTTTTAGCAGTGCACAAATCGAAGCCGTCAATCTGTAGAAAAATTTTTAAGGAATATATAAGTAACTGTGAAGCTTCTATGCTTAAAATATGAGTGATAATTAATCAACCTCAGAAGACATTGTGAAACCGCTGAAGAAAGTTTTGCGTCCATATATGTATCCGAAGTATAGTTTAGTAAGAGATATAATGCATCTGAGAGATACTGGTATTGAACATCTGGAAATAATCCACATATAATTGGCATCATAAACAGTTTATACAGTTTATCAAATTCTATATTAATATCTTCTGATGAGTGAATTGAATAACGCTAAAGCAAAAATCTTATTTCAACCAAGACGACATAAATTATAAATGAAAAAACCTACCGAGAGCGAGAAATGGAACCGGACAGAATATAGCCAAAACATTTACAAACGACAGCCAACCAGAAAGAAGCTGCCGCAGTGAAGCTTCTGCATTTTTCATAAGGTTATAAGTTGTGCAGTACTGAAGCAATTGCTTGGTATCCTGTAAAGAAAGTAATAATGAAAATTTTCAAAAGTAATGCAATGTGAACCCCCTTTTTATTGATATTATTACATATATATAAGATCTAGAAATCATACATTCTGAAGTGATGAGTTTATGGTGCTAAATACCTGCGAAATTCCGAAACTGAATTTTGGCTGCATTTCATTAGCAACCACGCTAAATTCCCTACAGAGCAGCCAGTTCAAATGCTCGATATCACACTGCTGAACGTTTGCAGATGTGGGACGCAGACATAACAATAAAATCTGGAAGTCATACATTATTTTTTTCCGATTCAATACAGTGTTTTATTTCATCCATTTGGTTCGCAAAATTGAGAATTATTCAGCGCTGTTATGGAAATGTGGCTTTTTTCTCACTTTTCTGTTTGCTTTAATAAACGGAAGTTTGTTATTTCAATTTTGCATCTAAATTGATACGCGTCTTCATGTCACAAAAAAAAAATACTGTAGGGAAAAATGACTCGCCTGCTGCAATTTTTTCGTATTAAGCAACTCCATTACCGGAATATCTATTTCATTAAAATCAGCTTTTGTCCTTAATAGCTGCCACAGAAAAGGCCATTCTAGAAAACAAGATGAAAATAGAATTTTTTTAAACATAGAAAAAGCTACTATTTTGATGTTATTCTACAATCCCAACATTAAAAAAAACGTAAAACCACTCTGTCCTTAATTGCATTTAGAAAGATTAAAAAACCTTATAATGGAATTTGCTTCTAAATACAGAATGAAGCCAAGATATCAGACTAAAATTGAACTATTTAAGGGATGTAGAAATGGAAATTTGTAAGCTGCCACATCCAACCTTCTTCATCCCTTTGTTCATTTGGAGTGTAGCCAATGGCACCTTGTCCCTGCACAGGTTCGACTGCTGCTGAATCTTGTTCTTCCATTATCTCATCTCTCTGCGACAGCATCAGGTGAAAATAACGTTCTGGCTGACTAGAACAAAAGTAGATTCGAATTTTTGGTTCTCATTAACTACATTATGTTATATATATATATATATATAGCTTCAATTTCACAATTTCATCAAAATCATTACGTCGTGAACTGAATGACCATAAGACATTAATGGAATGTCGCTGCACATAAGGAAATCTGTCCCTACTATATTAGGATCCTCAATCTCCACAATTGTTTTATCAAACTTAACCTGTCAATACCGGACACAAAATCTAAGTCTCCAAAACAACCGTGCTTTAATAACTATCTGATCTTATAAGAATCCAAAATAATTGCATTACAGGACTGCGCAAATGAAGAAACAAAAATAAACCTGTAATGTTGATTTTGTAAGAGAGAAGACAATTCAATGGCACTTAAATGTAGCACCAGACCTTGAACAGTGGTCTTTAAATTCTTTAACACCATATTTTCCTCTCCATCATCATGAGTTCTTATATTCAAAATCAATAAGGAAGATGCCAAGCGATAAATAAGGTCGTGATTTGAGCGAAAAAATCTAAGGATAACAGTTGAACAACCAGAACTTATTGATACCAGTTGCAACTGCAAGAGGAAGCTTCGTATCATATCATTAGAGAATGATAAGGCGTGTAAACAAAAATAGAATGCAATAATTTAGTTTTAAACTATTGGAAGTACTAGAACTCTAAAACCGATCTAAAATCTAAACACATTACTGAAATTAAGCGTATAAAACAAAATGAGTCAAAATTAAAAACTGGAAAAAAACCCATTTGTCTGTAATATTTACCATAGTAGAATTATAAAATATTAGCTTACCATTAATCGAAGTGTCGGTTCAAAAAGTGCAGCAAATGGGAGTAAAAACGGAGCTTCAGTAGTCGTCATTTCTATCAGCAAATCAACTAGACTATGTAAACAAGTCATTGCAGTACCCCTCAGTCCTGAAATTCCTTACCTATGATAGACGGACATCAGCTGAATAGCTATTACAAAAAAAAAATGTTTTTCATACATGATTCTCCAACCACTCATCCAACCTCATTGGGAAGAACGCAGTTCACTCTCCGATCACATATATTATTGCAACATCTGAGTGATTATGACCAAGAGTGTCTAACTCGATTACGCATCATTAGTTTTTTTTTCTTTAGAAAATTAATGTTCTTCAAACAGCTGAAATTTCGTAGGAATTCCAGTTCGGAATTTTTTTTTCTCTAGTTATTTGCCTCATATATAAAAATGAGATGACAGGTTTATTCACCTCTTCAGCATTCTCGCCTTAACTGCGACGGTGAACAGAATCCTATAAGTTTAAAAAAAAAAAAAAAAAAAGAAAAAACTACGCATTATTCCGTATCTATTCTCGAAACTTAAAGTTTTTCATGCGAAAAAATATATTACACATTTAAATTTCTACCGAGTTATGTCTTCCAATTTTATCAAGATCTTGCACATAGTACTTATGAACATATTTATGAAACCACGACTTGCCTGCAGGCTCAATGATGGAATTTACCAAATCAGGCATTCTGAGACCGCAGAAAAGGTAGACTAAATTGGTGGTGCCTGGGTCGTTCTCAATACTCGATGAACACATTTCAATGAATAAACGTGCTGTTTCACCACGTATTCTTGCCACCGATAATTCATTAATTCCTGGAATGTTTCATTAAAAAAGGATTAAATCAGTAATATAAAATTTTCTTGTTGGCTCATTCAGTACAGAACAGAAATTACAGTAACTTCTTCGTATTCTTGAATTATCGACCAAAAAAAAGTTTTAAATTATAAATCACATGAAATCAAACCATGGTAAACAGGTGAATCAAGAGCCGAGGCTTCCATCACTGTCATTTTCACAGAAGTCAATCGCGCAAAACTTTCAATTAATTCTAAAGAAAGCGACGAAAGAGTCTGTACAAGACGACTTTGCATGGAAGGTTGACAACAGCAAAGTTCTCGCAGAATTGATACTACGTGATATACGTGTTTTGGGATGAGCTCGGACTGAAATTAGCTAAACCAGTGAAGTAGTAAATTGTGACATGAAATAATCGCTCTTCTTATTTTACTAAAGCATTCATACATTTATAATTATTTATAAACATTTATAATTAGCAGATAGTACCTATAAGTAATTGAAAATCCTTTCAATAAATCCTGCTTTACATTTCAAGGAGTAGGGGGGAGAGGAAAAAAAAAGGAAAATGTACAAAATAAATATCAGCACATGAACATCATGTGTTCTCCATGGTGAGTTCTAAAAAACTGGAAAACAAAAAATTTTTAAAAATGTAAGTGTAAAAGACGCAATAATGCAGTACCTGTGTCAAGTATGAGGCGATAACTGTAATATATGTTGTTGTTCCACTACCTTTTATGGATGATAAGAAAAGTGAATCCAATGATGCAATTATTATACTGGAATTAGTGGTACGTACTGCATCTATTAAAGGTGCATGTAATGAAACACAGATATCAAGTAAACGCAGAATTGATAATACAGCTGCTTCACGATCTGTTGAACGAGGAGAAAAATCTTGCAGACGTTCCGCTCCATCACATAATACTGCACCCAGCTGAATTCTTTAGCTGATATAGATTTAACAACTTCAATAAAGATACATATTTATACAAGTCAAGTGAAAATGACTATAAAAATGACCACGGCCTGATGCATAAATTTTACATTTGAAGAATGGTGGCTGAAAAATTGGCACATTTAATTACGGTGTCGGCTGCAGTTTAGGAAGTAAAAGATGGCAATATACATGATTATTAGTAGAATGTAAATTACTGAAAGTAAAGAGATGGAAACATTAATGAAAATTAAGAGGTAAAATGAATGACGCGAAAGTTAAATTTATAATGAAAATTAAGAGGTAAAATGAATGACGCGAAAGTTAAATTTACAGTAATGATCGTGAAAAACGAAAACCATCTTACCGATCGGAATACAGGAGAATCGTTTAAAATTTGCGTAAGGACAACAATTTGAGGGTCCGCATTCAGAATTGCTTCCGCTGTAATTGCATAACGATGAAGGAAATTGTACAGAGCGTCACATGCTGCAGAACATAAATGCCACTGAAAATGAAAATTAAGATGAATGAATGTACAGAGATATTTTAAACCGTGTCAAAGTAGAATAAAAATAAAATCTACAACCATGGCTTGATGGAACTATCAATAAGCAACAAGCCAATTCGATAGAAAACAGGAAATAATTTGATGCATAACTTATTCAAAAAATAAAAAAACAAACCATCTGTATAATGTTTTCATATGAACGATCCGCAAACTGGCAGATAATGGATTTGACGATAAATTGAAGGTATTGCAATAAATACCTTTTATCGACATTTTTTGCATGCAGAAACAGAGTTTTTATAAGGTGCAAGAAACCAATAGATGAATCGTAGCATTTGAAAGCACATTCCCTTGTTTCTAATTCGTCCTACAACAACCAGATTTCAAATACTGGTATATTAATATTGACAGAAAGTGCACACATAGTCAAAAAAATGTTCTTCAGATTGGAAATTTTAGAACTACTGCAGTGAACAAATTTCAAAAAAAAAATACTTGTATACCAACAAGTTTCCCAGAACTTGTTTTAGTTAAAACAGAGAAGGATATCAATGTTGCCCAGATCTTCAGAGCACCATGTTCGTCCGTCGCAATTGAAGCCAAAAAACGAAACAATGCTCCCTTCAAAACAAGGGGAATCGCAGAAGTAACTAAACTTATTGCTGTTTCTATGCATGACCATGAACTGTTATCTGCAAACTGGCGACGAGCAGTCTGATCCTGAATGAAATTATTTCAGCTGATTTTTCCCAGGAACTAAATCATATTTCAGGAACTAGATCAATTAGATAAGAAAAAATAATTTTCACCTGGCAAACTTAAAGCCGACTAAAACGTGAAGTCATACTCATGAATCAAAAACCAAATAAATTTTATCGTTTAAAGCAAACTTCAAAGATTCATGAAGTTTTACGTGTTTAGCAACGATTTCTATAAGCTGAACCCATGCTACAAGGCCAGCTAATTCGGACTGTGGAATCTGCTGAAAAGTATCATGCTGTCCTGGCGGTGCTGTATGCATTATATTCGACGTTTGACTCTTTTTCCGTTCGAAAAGTACAAGATAATCATGCATTGCTGTCCAGAAATGGTCCCAAGAGAGTGTACCTTGAGCTATAACAAGAATAAATTAATAATCAGATCTGATTTTTTATGAAAAGTCAAAATCTCTGGTCAAAAACTCGGATAAAATAAACCAGAATGTTCAGCATTTCAAAAATGCTGTACCGAATTTTATATGACATGGAGAAAGCAGTCCAAATATGAAGTGTGCCGATTCCCGACATTTGCAGATGTTCTTTAGCATATCAAGAAAAGCGACTTGTAGTACCGGTGAAATAAGTTGTCGGCAATTTCTTAAAAATTTCACCAATTCTTCCTGAGAAGTAAAACAAAGTTATGTCCCATTAGATTGATCAATGAAGTCTATCAGATTTGGGAATCTATTTTTGCCTCGTAGTGCTTTATGTAGTGCACGGATTGTGACACTAGATAAATTATTTTAAAAAATCGCATCAGTGTTATTCTAAGAAAATGCAATTTCTAAAGTTGAAGAAACTGACTTTAGTTGATAAATAATCTGCCTATCACACTGAACAAACTGCAGATCAGAAAAAGTTCAAAGCAACAAAACTGATTTACAATGCTTCACTAAATATTGCCAAATATGTCGGAAACTCACACTTTCACTAGAGCAAAACTGTGCAGACAACTGTTCCAAATATTTGGAATCACCATCATATAAATCAGCAATACAACGAATAAAATTTTCAAAATGAAGCCGAGGCCTGTGAAGCTGACCACGCTCCAACATTTCCTCGACGTACTGCAATTCTATTTCACCGGAATGTTGCAGTAGAACGACCTAAAATAGTTCCCATTAGCGCAGAATGTATACTATATTAGTGTTTGTATGGTTTCAGTGAACGAATTAGTCAAATTCATAGCGCAATTTAGAAATGAAACTATGAAGGAAGGAAATCAAATATCTAGGAAAATATTAACCTGGTTACTGAGATGAGCAATAAAGTTCTTGATCAATGTATCAACTGTAGCAAAAGCTATGAAGTTTTCTCTAAATTTTGGCATCGCAATAACACATTTCCGTATGAATTGGAAGGCCAATCCATTGACTGCCTTTTCAAGCAAATCATCTTCTTTGATAGCAAAACCACCCAGAACTATTGAAAAACAATGATGGGAATAGATATTTAAACAATTCAATCAATAGAGAGAAAATCAGTAAGAATTATCCAGTAGTCATATGAAGTAGGTAAATGCATCAACAGTGAATAATATCGAACCTTCTTGAACAAGTTGATGAACACTGAGCCAGTTGTATGAAACCACGACTGCAAACTGTAACGAAGCCTGCAGACAAGAATCTTGCCAGTCCTCCAAAATCACTTCCTTGTGAAACCCCATCAACAAATCTCGAGCACATCGCACTAGAATTTGTTTATCATTTATTTCCTGTATTCGATCTGTGAAAGTATTAGAAAAAGAAGGATGCGCATTTCCATAGTGAACATATGAATAAAAGTGTAAAAGAGTGAAAAACAAAAATTACGGAAAATTACTATTCTGAAGATTGTGTGGAGATATCAGTATTAAAGAAGCAGTCCATAATGATAAATGGGTATTTCTGAAAGGTGTATTCGGCTGCAGTTCTTTCAGTGGCCCAAACAAATCATTTAAGAAGGACGGTGCTGATTCCAACTGCCACGATGAGCATATGAGATGAAGTGTTTGTGCACAATTTTCTAACGTCTCTTCAATTAATTCCCGCAACTGCAAAAATACTATCGCAAGAACGTTAATAAAAAGTTATGCTACAAGTAGCTACAATAGCTACAATAAACTAAACTTGAAATAAACTTACAATTTCCTGATGTTTCGGACCACCTAGTCCATTCACATGTGGATGATGCAAATTTTGTAATTCAGATTGCACATTTACAGTTTGCAAAACTTCTGAAAGCATCGTTACGAAAACGATCAATTTAAAAAAGATCGGGAAAAATCGGAATATAAACATTGGTCAGTTACGGTGTGAATGAAAACACATGTATATTGTAGGATTGAAAGTTTGTTAAATTTTTCAAATAGCGAGAAACCGTGCATACCTATAAGACGTCTAATAAATGCAATATCACTAAGTAACTGATTGAGATACTCGAAAAGCTCTCGTGGTTTCGACACTTTTTCATTAATCCTGAATTCTGCTAAAACCTATAAAACGTGAATCATTCAGTAAATGAATAGTTTTATGAAGGCATTAGTAGTGCATAAAAAGATATCCACAGTATATGACAAACTAAATCTAGTATCGCAAATCGTAAGCAATGAATAATAATGGTGTGCCTTCTTAGTTTCAAACTTTAAACCCAACTAAGCAAAATATAAAATGTAAGGAAAAAAATTTCGAGAACATTAGAAATGAAATTTCGAAAAAATTCACTTACTTTCAGAGCCGCACTGATAAAACGATGTGCATCATAGTAGCAAATAACAGCACAAAGACCCCTCGTTAAGAATGGAAAATGCCGTGTTTGCACTTCACCTGTAGACGTAAACAATCACCATATCTTACCCTTATGTCAATTAAATATTTATAAAAGCACTTTTATTCAACAAACAAAAGCTGACAATATGTTTCTTATTTTCACAGGACCATAATGCAGACGCATGCCCAATTACTCCACTATATATTTCGAATTTATCTAGTTTCAGTTAAGAATTATTCCCTAGTATGCGTTATTTCTTTGTTTTTTATTACCAAAATTATCAGCATATGCCAATCAATCAGTGCTAGTTGGTAACTGCATGAACCCAAAAATAAAACAATTTGAACGGCCAGTCTTGTATGTGCTTTCAAGAGTTGAATCCAACAACTTTTAACTGCATCACTTCCTAACCTTAACATTAGGACGCTAGGCAAATACGGTCGATAATAATTATTACCAGTTATTACTAGTTCAAGAGCATCAAATTCATCACAGTTAAACAAATCTGATATAATTAGTGCTTCGTTCCGCAGCCCGTCATCTATTTTCACGACTTCTCCACTGTCTAATTCCACTACTTCACCATTCTTGTTCAGCACCGATCGATGCAGTGAATTTTTACTCTGAAAGAAAATAAAAACGACCTTCTGCAAAATATTACATAAATCTTGTAACATACCATAATTAGAACATGATCTAATTCATTTGAACCGAGATTTCGAGCATGATTATAGAGTATGTTACGAGATGACACAAGATAAATTTTTGTAAGATTAAGAACTCAAAAAAGAGTAAGCAAAACATATAAAGTCACTTAGACTAGAATTACCATTAGTGTATATAACTTCATTATCCTGTAAATCTTGTTTTTCATCATCACATTTCTTCTGCTTATTATATGAACGATATTATAAAATATCCAACTGAAATTTGAAAAAGACCAACTCGATTCCGAAGTATATCGACAAGTGATGCTCGGGTTTTGTTTAATATAGTCATCAATTGCTCTAGAGAAGTATTACTTCTCTTTTTATTGTAACAGCTATTTATATAATCATCGATTACTCTGAAAGTGTTCTGAGCCCGCATCCACATTTCTTACTTCTGAAAAGTACATTATCCGGCAATATAAGAACTAAGATACGGTGATGCAGCAACGCTTACTGGCATCACTGTTTCTTGGTCCACAAATTACACTATCAGATTTAATCTTTATGGGATGAAATGAAGATGTATATAGTTACAGTCAACGAATTCATGGTGTTAAATCATCGTTTGTTTCACAAGAACTGCATTTACTCCAATCAAAGGTGTCATAGGTGTTACTGAATATCAGATACAGACTCTGTGTAAACTATTCAGGACACAGAGTGCTGCTTTGACTTACAACACTAACGGAAAAGCTATTATTCAGTCAGGTGTACCAGGTGATTGCATGCGTGAGTAGGTTTCTGAAACATCGGTGAATTGTCGTTCACGCACAAGCACAGATTAATTCCAACCTCATTGTGGCTAGTCTAAGATGTTCAGCTCACTGAGTGAAACAGAAAAATAGTCTTCTTTACTGTTTATCTGGAGATTGTGAAAGTCCTCTGTTTGAGATTAGGAATCTTTCACCTTTGAATGGTTGGGATTAATAGCGCAAAAAAAAACTAACAAATGTTTGATAACTTCCTCGTCTTCCGCAACCGTTACTCATGTATGGGTTAACCGATATATTCATATTTACAATAGTAGTCTAATAAATTAATTTTGTCTCCATTACAACTAAATATCTTCAATGTGTTCAAAAGAAGTGATTTCAAAAAAAAAGGAATTGAGGAAAAAGAAAACTGATTTCCTTGGCAAAATCTAAACCTAAGATTCGAATTCAATTCTGAAAATGAATAAACCAGCGCAAGTTTAAGTTTAATCGAACATCTTCGATCTTTCTTCAAACTCAAATACAACGACAAGTCCAAATTTGAGTCCAACAACATTCAGAGATTCAGAGATTCAAGCTGAAACATGAATTGAATCCTAAGTTCAAGCCAAGAATTTTACTCGAGTTTTTTTTTCTTTAATGGGCCCGACTTCATGAACTACATCAAAAATCTATTACTTTAGAAATATTGAACCAACAACACAGATGTTGAATACTGCTACACAACAAATGACCAAGCCACATAAAGATGGTTTATCGCAATTAAAACATCGCTACACGACTTTGATGACTTTTTGCTTTCCTGACCAGGCTATAATGAAAAAAGTGTGACGTAGTCTTCGCGGCTTAACTGCCGTCAGGAGAAGTGTAACAGGTGCTGCTTCGGAATTGTTAATTTAGTATGGAAGTAAAAGGTTGGTTGTGGGGTATCATGCTTATGACCATTTATATCGATTGGCTAGACTATTTGCTGTCAGTTGGACAATGTCGACTAGCTAGTGGGCATTAAATGAGCCCAACATAGCAGCATTAGCTATTTATCTGACATGGGTATTCCGTGAGGATTAGGAGAAAGCGTTTTTCATGTCTCCCTGATTTATGGAATTCGGAAATATAACTACAATCAACGAGGTTAAGCTGACTGATTGCAAGATGACCTGAGATCAAGGTTAAGCTGACTGACTGCAAGATGATCTGAGATTCTTTAAAATGTGTCGATAGTGACCTGAGATTTCTTCAAAATGTGCCGACATTGACCTCAAACCTGGTAATCAACATGAGTTGATTTACAACGTCTCACAATACGAATCTGAACTACACATATTTACAATGTTGACAATATTCAAAAAGTGTAAAGACCTTCATGATGACTTTGGTGGAGCTTCCTCCTCTTTATATTTCTATATTAAAAAAAACGCATGTTTTTACCTGTCACATGTGTGGCACATATATAATAGGTGTGTAAAAACGCGCGTTGTGTCGAAATGTGTTAAAATTTTAAAGCAATCGGTAATGAACTTCGGAGATTCAAGATCTCGAACAAATGAATTTACATTTTATATAGATCAATATAGTTTTTACTTACACATATGGTCTTCTTATTTGCACCCTTAGATTTTTGTGAGGTTAACCCTGACAGGTAAGAACCCCTAGTTCCAACAGAGGTGGGAAACGAATAATGACACATACTGTATCTGAAGTCCATCACTGAACTGAAATCCGTCAACAGAGCGTCTCTGACCTGATTTCTTGCTTATTTAGGAAATGTTGAACAATGTCCTAAAAAAGTCAATTCAGCTGTTTCTCCGCAAAATTTAGGGAAAAAGGCTGCAGTAACCGAAAGCCGCAAGTTTACTTCAGCTGTAACAAAAGCCACACGATTTTGTCCCTGGCTTCAAAAACCCTGTGACAAATTCCAACTAGCCAACTTCACTTCCGGGCAATTAATTGTACACGTAAAGCTAACATTCCCTACAGAATGGGAATTCATATTGGTGGTAAGCCCCAAGATCCTTCCGAAGAAGTAACATTTTTAGATTAAAACGTCCAAACTCTCGAACTCAAATATCACCAGTGGGTGACCTCGTTCATTATCGATCTATCGTCCCCAACGTTCCTCTCTTCAAGAACAGAAATGACGGTAGATTTTATATAAGAGTAGAATCTGTCTTTAGGATCAACAAGTGAAAAAACCGTCGTCTCAATGGATTTTAAAAAGTCTCCAGTGCCATTAGTCCCCAACCCTCACTTCCCTTACAACTGGAAAGGCAAGGATTGGAATTGAACAATTAAAGAAGACGGAGACGTCCATATGTCGGTCCGTCTCACCAGCTCAAGTATCGCATGCATTCTATCGCCTGGAATTTCATCCCGCAACTCCGGTTCTTCCATTTATTCTTTTCACTGGGCATCCTTGGATCAATAGAAAAATCCCAGTCAAAGACCAAGAACCTCCCTCCCCGCATAAACAAACTTGTAGTTTGAAATGTAGCTGACCAGGTCATCATCAGACATGTTAACAAAATCGTTCACTTATTGTCTTTTCCTAAATATGTCGACCCTTACAGCTAACACATTCCAAAGTAATTCCTAACCGTGCCTTTCCGAACACTCGCATAGCATTCTCGCAGTTTAATGTTCCAAAAAAGGACAAAACTTTGACCTTGTTATATTAAAATTTGAAAGCCACAACATAAATCAGTGATAAACCGAATATATTCAAAAACTGAGTGCTTTGTGGGAATCATCCCACTATTACACCAAGTGACAAACAGTTCTTGAGATTAACATCGAATTGCAGAACAAAGGAATAAACCAAATCACAACTGGAAGCGCTTTATGATCAAATTTCCAAGGAAAATGTAAACAAAAGGTTGAATAGATAGATAATTCCCTCCCCTTTTATATATCTCCATTAATAACTACAGAAGATTACTGTACTACTAACAATAATCATTGTGCGAGAAAAACCTCGATAAAGCGCGAAAATGCTTACCGCACATGTATATATGTACAAAACAACTCTACATCAAATGTATCCATATAAAAGCACTGAAATAAACATGCAAAACATATGTGCTGGAAAAAAATTGATCGTTCCAAGAAAAACGTCTTAACCCTGAGAAAAAGTGATCCAAGATAATACCACAGGTAATAAAAAAAATAAGTTACCGCTAATTCATTGTCTATCTCTTGATGGATGGCCGGATAAACATCTGATAATTTAATGATTTTCAAAAAAAACAGAAGACCGGGTCCCGTTCATAAAACCATTCCCTTTGCGAGAAAAAAAAAAGGATTATGAGAAACACCCAATCGGCCATCAATCATGTATCGTCAATCAATCACCAATATTTTTCTGATTATAAACAGAAAACCGTTGTTATTGGTTTATAAATACATAAAGATAATCATCCAAAAATAATACTATTTCGGTAATTTTTATAGCTACAAACAAACCAGAGGTAAAAATTAATCGATTCCCTATTCAAAAATGGTGATAACACGAACAAAGTTTTTGTATCAAAAAACTCACAAACGGCAATTCTTTGGTAAAAGCCAGTTAAGCATTTCTATGAAAGACTTTTTCCCGTTTCCAGTAATCATTTATTTGTAACATCTAAAAGAACTGATCAATCATATTCATTTATGGCCTCTGTGCAGTTGCAAAACCACCTTCCTGTTGCAACCGCCGCATCATGTCGGAATTCAATGAACCAGGATTTACGATTCGAGATCCCAATTCATTACTGAATGGATTCATCATCGTCATTTGCAAAAGAGCATTCTGCTCTAGGAAAGGGCGCTGCGCCTGAGCCTGCGCCGCTGCTGACATAGCTAACAGTTGTTGCAATTGAAGTGCATCACCTGCAACCACATGTAAATGACAAACACCTGTAAATCTGTAAATGATAAATTGTCTGGCCATACTACGAGCAATGCACAAAGTAACTGCAAGACTTCCTCCGTACCCCAAAACTTTTAAGGGCAGCTAAAGGCGTAGAAAAGGACCACTCACCATACTCTACATTTTTAAATAAAAAAGAATTAATAGAGTAAACTAAACAGCACCAGGATGGGTGGCTGCTGCATGCTGCATCATGGCAGCAGCATGTGGATGGAGATGGGATTGCGGTGCTTGAGATACCGGTATTCCAGCCGGAGCCAACATTTCCATGCCAGCCATGCCTGTAACTAATTAGTACTAGCTAATGGTGAAACTGCATATTGTCAAGATCAACAATATACAATTGCAACAGAACATATTATTCAGGTAAATGTATTTCTCGAACGTGAAGAGACTTCTAACACTGTTTTTTAACGGATTCAAGATAAAATACACATATACTGTGTTGTTGCTGTTCATATTGATATTTGTTTTAAACTACTATATAATATAAGCCTCTTAAAATTCCAAACCTTGTCAACATCGCAGCTGTGTTCAAGAGCGACACAAGTTCAGGTGAATCAATGTTGGTAATAAAAACATGTTTCTAGCGCATAAAATAAAGACAGTACGACGTTAAGAATTCTCAGTACTTTTAAAACCCCGATAAAAACTAACCAAGCATGCGCTGCTCCAAATTACTTCGCTGCTCCAAGGCACTTATCATTGCTGCGGTATGACTGTCGATACCCATTCCAAATTGCGAAGCAAGCTGTGGATTATGCATCAGCGCAGCAAGTGCTCTCGGATCCATCCCAAAATTATGGAAAGGTGGTGGAAGCATGTTGGGAGGAAATCCATGAGCATTAACAGCAGCCGCAGCAGTACCACCACGGGATGGAGAATCACGAACAGCTGTTACTGTAGAACCCGTCGTTACTGTACCATTCGCACCACTTCGTATCATTTCTAACTGATGTGCCCGCAGCTGCTGCTCCATCTGCTTTTGAAAAACTTGCTAGAAAAAAACTACTTTAGAATGCAAACTCTTATGTCAAGTTAAATACGATGTTTCCTTCACTGGGAGGTAATGTCGCAACAATAAATCTTACTTGTTCGACAGCGATAGCATACTGTTGTTGAGGAGTAAGGAAACCGAATCGTGGATCTGGCATACCGGGAAACATTCCTGGCAAACCAGAAACTGCAGTACCATTCATGGGGACCCGACCTCCCATGAATGCTTCAACATTTGGTGCCCCCGACAAAGGTGCAAGCTGCGCAGATGGCAATTTTGGTACTGTAACTGGAGTTGGGAAAGCATCATTGGGCTGAAAAGTTATTTCTTAGCAGAAGCCTGTAAAAGGAAAATTGAAGACATACAAACTAATTTCGTAAAGAGTTTCGATAACCAAATGAACCAAAGCAGAGCAGGGACAATCAGTGACTTAAGAATAAAGTGAAGCAAGTGATCATTATTCCATACAAACTCATATGAAAACTTGAGGTATGAAACGAAAATGAAAAACAAAGAGGCAGAATCTCCACTGACCTTTTTCTGTGTATTTATATGGTTCTTGAGGGCAGCACGCGCTTCTCGTTTCTTATCCCACTCCGAACCAGGTTTCATGCGAAAAGCTAAATCTGTACGCGCACACATTTGACCACAGCGCCGATCGATAACTCGGATGAGCAATGCATTTTTTGTCGTTTCAACAACTGTATCATTTACGGTCCAGTAACCATCATCTGAATCTTCTTCCTCGGTTTTCATTTCCTGCAAGAACTTTAAAAATTATTCTCGAGAAGAAAATTTAAATCGTATTTCATGTCGACAGACATGAAATTCCATAAGAGTGAACAGCAAATCGCCAATCTCTAAGAACAGATATATAATACTGTGCGTAAGCGTGCAAATATTATAAGGACAAAACACAAAACTGTTACTGAACAAACAATGCCATAATAACAGTTCCAAAAATCTACATAACTCCTACATATCAAAGCCGGCAGTCAGATTTGAATAACGAAAGCTTACATCAGGAGGGGTCCGATCGACTGGCTTCACGAAACTTGTGCTAGGCTGTTCCGTTGCAATTTCTACAGCTCCTTCATTTTCAGCAGTCCCGGAGACTGGAGGTGGTTCACTTGCCGTAGCACTGGTTGAAGCAGAAACGAAGGTTTGGAGTTTAACACTTGGACCTCCTTTTCCCGCGCATACAGACATTTTTACTTGCCCCTGATAGTGCTTTCCTTCTTCGTCAACACTGACTACTTTTATTGATGCCGAAACTGACTCTGAACCTGCAGACGTCTCTGTTTCATTCCCCTACAAGTTTCATTAACATCTATAAATCACGAGCAAAGACAATAACAAATGGAAAGTCAAATAAAAATATATCCTGCATAATAATGAATCAACGATATAAAAATTTAATAAGTTACAAAAGACAGAAACCTTTCCAGTATTTAACGAATTATCATTGGTGCGGATTTCTGAACTGAAAGTGGGTTCATCATCTTCTTGCATATCGGTATTTTCGTCTTCTTTCTCTCCTTTTACAAACCGCTTCTTTGTAGTCCCATTTACCTGAAATTATACAGTTGAGACATACGACTTAAATTCTAATGCGCAATAGTGATTAGAGAAGATAACCAACATATTCACTATTCTGTGCATGATTTCGTTTTCTTTTCCCATTCCTTTGCTTCACTTCGCCATCATTTGGTGAACCAATACCCTTTTTATCCACCTCTAACGAGGCGCCACGTCTTTCCTTTTTATTTGCTCGCGTTCTTACTCCTTGTTCCTGAAACCCGGTTTTTTCTCTTATCAGTTTTAAATATTTCCCCCTTACTGAGTTCTTAGGATGAACTTGTCAGGTATAACGACAGTCAGAACGAAAATATTAAGCTTATTTTCGAATGTCATAATATTTTCGTATGAAACGTCAATAAGTATATTTCACCTCATCATCGTTGCCTTCAGGACTTCTTGGCTTGTACAGTGATGGTGGGACGGTGCTTGGTCGATCAACGGGACGCAGCTGCCCATACTTCTTATAAAAAACTCGACACTCAGTACAAAGTAATTGACGTTCTCTACCCGAATGATGCCAGTCTTTACTTTCTGAAGTGAACTAAATTGCTAAACGGAGTTGCACGTTATGAAATCGAGTTTAAAATGAAGTACTGAAGTGAAAAAAATATATCAGAAAATTAATCATTAACGTTACTTGACGTATAGCAATGATGGCAAGCATACGCTGCAGCACGACCATCATTTTCTAACTCTTCCATTTCAGTCTCGCTCGCGGATGCATAATCAGCCAAATCAGTACTGCCGGGACGAGATGCCTGAAATTTGAACTCTCTTGAAGTTATGCATCAAATTGTTCATCAACTTTTTTGTTGATGTATTTGTTGATATTTCTGTTTACCATACCAAAAATTAAAAGAGAAGTCGCACAGTGATATTAAACTGCAAAAAACTGAAATAAAGAATATAAATACCAAACAAGTGACCTTCAACTGGTTGTTTTTTGGTTTCCGATGTGTTGCAGTTGCCGTATTTCGCTGTCGTGCTAATGGCTTAGGCCTCGTTGCATCACGAGTCTTCTTCCATCCATAATAGAACTGTACCAATTCATCCTGAAAAGAAACAATCATGTTTTTTTTTTCGAAGAAAATGATAGCTCTCCAAAAATTAAAAATCTGGGGAGACATTAGTACGATTATGCGCAAATACAACATATAATACTACTCAAAAAGTAGTCATTCAAAACATTCTCACGGATTACTTCAGCCACATCTAAAAACACAGTAGTGCTATTGGTCTTACAGAGAAAACAAAACCAGGTTTAAACAACCACGATAAGTCCCTGTCATCCATTACCTGAACAATCCATCAGAATGTGCATAAGTACTTTTTGAGTGGTGTTATCTTTTTCTCTCCTGAACTGAATGCCCTAGCAATCATATAGAATGCTGATCTGATTTAATTTCAGCATGTGTAATTCAATTAATTCGCTTTTTTCTGCCTATCGTGTTTCAGAATAAAGAATAACAGCTATGTTTCACAGAAAAATGCACTATTGTAAATCACGTTACTATAATTATAACTTACTCTACGATGATGTGGCAATAGTTCCTTCTTGATTTTCAAGAAATTTTTCCCATAGGTTTTAATGCCACGAGCAAATTTTTTGGCATCATCAATATTCATAAAATTGGTCACTTTAAGCATATGTTCGTCATTTTTATTCATTGCCTCAATAGCATAATTTACGTTGTAATCACATTTATGCAGCTAAAAAAAATTACTCATTGTCTAAAAAAAGGAACAATTTTCAAGAATAACGAAACTGTAACGGATGAACACCGAAACATTCAAGAGTAGGAGCTATTTCTGGACGAATCGATTTCATTGAGCTACGTCACTATTAACTAATGAAATTTCAAGTTATAGAGTCAAAACGCTTAAATATTTCAATGCATAAAATATATCATGATAATATTGCATCTAGGATTATTGTGGAATGAATAGCTTGCATATTTACAAATTTGCGATGGGTGGAATCAGGATGATCATTGTTTTGACTCATCAAATTCTCAGCTCTCCTAGTGCTTACTGGCTTTGTTACTACCCGCCCACTACAAAGTAAAAACTAACGAAGAATAACGCTAATACTTTTGCAAAATTCGTCCAGTTATTCACTTTGTAAGCTACTAACCGTGATTATGGCATCATGCATACATAAATCGCCAGTCCTAAAATCACGTTCCATTTGCGTAATTTGTTCGTTCCGAACCATAGCAAACATCCGAAATGATCGTGTCGCCCTTTTATAACTGAGAAAAATTCTCCGGTTATATTTATATTGAATAATGAATGAATTTATTGTAATTGAAAGCAATCATCTAATTGATCAAGTTCATCCTAGTAATAAGAATTAGTTAAAACAGTTATCATAGAGTTCACCAGATACAAATTCCATGTACTTTTTAGCCAAAGAAACATTGTACCATCCATACATACAATTTTTATCTCTGCACAATGAAATTTAACAATTCATTTACTTGTTATTTTTATTGGATAAAAATGATAACGAAATGCCTACACATGTTCGCTCTCTTCATTGATATAACCCGGCCTCCACTGTAATTCATCGCGATCCGGTTCATCCACTGCAGAGCATCTTTCCATTGGGGGCAGCTTTGCCTGAAAGTGGGTAATCCCTTTATATGGTCATTAAATTATGCAGTTAAATACAAAAAGAGATTATAATCCTTTTATTGCAACCCGTAACTTTTTTCCTCGAAATGAATGAAGATATGGAAATTAATAATAAGTAATTAGAAACACGGATCTCAGAATAAAAAGGATGAAGAATATAGGAACAGAAAGTGGAACTGTCTAGCAAGTATGTTTGAGAACTATCTCAAGAAATGACACTTGCAAACAAGGGCACTTTATAACTGTGAACGTCGAAAGGTTAAAATACATACATATCTATTTCTCATGACTTCTTCTTACTTTTTCACTCCACGCAATGCTGTATAATAGTACAGAGAGAAAAAAAATGAACAAACCTGATATGACCCGCCGACGCGGATTTCACCTTGTACAGACGCCAGTCTGCTATTATTTGGATCAAACGAGACCAACGAGAAAAAAATATCAGATAAAGACTGGACGTCTAATTCGCGTAACGTTCGAATGTCTTTAATCAAACGTATCGTACATTTACCCCTGTAACCAGTAATCATTCATTATTATGGCGAAAGACTTACAAGTAAAAAAGTAAACATATGCAGGGTTGAAATGAATTGGACTAATGGACGGAAAGAAACTGAAATCATTGAGAAAATAAAAAGTGCAAGAAAATAAAAAGACCTCTTTCTTTGAGTTCAAATCTTAGCAGATCTACATATAAGCGAGAAAATGAAATACCATACGATGCCACTTGAAATAAATGAGCAATAGGTATAAATGTTATTACAAATAAATGAGCAATAGGTATAAATGTTATTACAAATAAATGAGCAATAGGTATAAATGTTATTACAGTTGATCATTATCATACTGTCATTATCACACGACTGATACTATTTCAATAAAACTATATTGTTGAAAAGTACTATTCAGCGAACAATAATATTCACAACATATCTCAACGTTGCGATGAGGAGAAATGACCATTTTGACCGGTAAGAATGGTACGAAAGGAGTGAAAAATCAAAATTTCTTGCAGAAACCTAAATGTGCCACAAATGTGCCACAACGATCCTCCCTTTTCCAACAAATTTCTCACGAAAGAAGTCCTAATTGTAAGATAGGAGATGATACTGACTTCCCGATTTTCTTGCAAACAATAATTCTCTACCACTCTCAATTTAATGAAACTCAAATACATCGTTGTTGATGTCAAATGTTCTATGATTGCAATTAACTCCGGAGTAGTGCAAGAAGTGATTCGAAGTTTAATATCATATGACCATCTAATAAAGATCTGCATAAGCAGATATCAGTTTCATTAATAATTCGTGGTTTCCGGTAAGTCATTAATTCTCAACCAGCACATGATGTTATTAGAGGGAAATGCTTGCAAGTTAGCATTCAAACACGAAATATGCCTAATGTTAGAAGAAGCATGCTCCCGATCTTCAAAAACAGACACACTGAAATCCGAATTTGCATTAGTTTCAATAAATAGGCTACCCGACTAATCATGAAACAAGTTCTATCACTGCGATATGCACAAATGTATGTATTAAGTAAATAAGTGAGTAGGTGAATGATAAATGGATCAATAATAATTGAAGATATAGGAGGGAGTGCCTAAGGTAAAGAGTTAAAATTAGGATGTATGGATGTTTTATGCAGTATGAAAACAACCAAGACCAAACTCATCATCTGATGGTCCAATAGTCCATTCATCTTTCAATGCTAAATTGAGAATTGAATTGTCTATGAGAGGAAGTGTGAATATACCGAAAAAATACCAGAAAAGCTATCAAACCCAATCCCAATACGTCAGGGGTAAGAAAAGATTTATCCATTGTCAAACCGATCGATTCTACTACTTAATTGCACATCACAACACACACACACACACTGAGAATGTGTGTGGCTCATTAGATATGCATAAATTACCAACAAGCCCAATCCTTATACATTAAACAATACTCATCTAACAATCCAACTCCTCATAACTTTGTTTGATATGAATAAATAAGCAGTCCTCAAAGTTTAAAGTTAGCCAGTATGTTCGGATAACTCCTTCGATGACCCGTTTACCGGAGAAAACTATAAACACAACTATAAAGTAAAAAAACTATAAACGACAAACAATAGTCGAAATATTGTGGTACGGAAACCATCGACATCACCAGAGAAGTTAATTATAACCTTACTCCAAATCATATCTCAGGGAATGAAAACGAAAGACGGATCCAGGTACAGTGTTATGGTGAACCCTCCGCTATTTGATCCGTAGTTTATGAAAAAGATAACAAAAACAGGTTAGACTGCAAATGAATTAGTTTTGAACATCAGAAAGGTTCAATTTTGGGATCCAAAATTACAATCGACAATGAACAAGGAATAAGACGAAAACAATAACCATCAAATGACCAACAGTGCTGTTACGAATAATAGTAACAGATCTGTAAATGATTATCATTCTCATCCAATTAGCATTCACCTAAAAATGTGATGAGTTTCTGACAGATAGGAATGAAAATAATACTACAGTTTTTTGCAGGAGGACGACATATATATATATATATATATATATATATATATATATATATATATATATATATATATATATATATATATATATATATATATATATATATATATATATATATATATATATA